TCCCCAGTGCCACACAAAGGGTCATGATGTGCACACCTGTAGTCACACGAGAGAGAGAGGTAGAAGCACGAGGGGCAGGCTCACGGTCTTCCTTACTTATGTCGTGAGTTCAGGGTAAGCCTGGGCTGCGGGAGACTCTGCTTGAGAATACACGGGACACTAGGGAGATGCTTAGGTGGTTCAGGTACTTAACTACGCACGTAGGAGTTCCGATCTCTAGTACCCACATAACCCCAGTGCTAAGGGAAAGAGGGGTGCAGATACAGGCAGATCCCAGAGCTCGCTGGCCACTTTAGTCCAAATAGTGAGCTCCAGGTTTGGGGAGAGGACTTGTCTCAAAGTATAAGGTGAAGAGCAATTGAGAAAGAAACCTGACGTTGACTCCTGGCCTCCACACATACATGCATACATGCATGGATATAAGAAAATGAGACTAGAGAGATGGCTCAACAGCTAAGAATGTTTGTTCTTCTTCTAAAGGACCCAGGTTCAATTCCCAGAACCCATGTTAGGTGGTACACATCTGACTGTGTCCCAATTCTAGAGGATCCAGCATCCTGTGGACACACACACACACACACACACACACACACACACACACACACAGAATCCTATGGACACACAGAAAGAATACATGTGCACACAGAGGAGACACACACACAGAGACACAGAAAGAATCCTGTGTTCTCACACACACGAGATAGAGAGAGAGAGAGAGAGAGAGAGAGAGGGAGGGAGGGAGCAAGCACACACATATTAGTCTTATATATGATGTCCAGAAAACACCCCAAACCTTCAAGCTGGTCTATGGAGTCCTTTCTGGGCAGCTCCTTCCATGCCCTCTAGACGACCCCTCACTTCATGCCCTGAGGGGGATGGGTAAGCTCTTTTCAGATCTGAGGCTCATGGTGTGGGAGTATTACTCCACCCTCTGGGCTCTGCTACGTGAGGATGGCACCCAGAGGTGGCCAGGGAAAGGAGGTAAGTGTCACTGAGCCACCGCCGGGGAGTCCATTGGAGGCCCACACCTAAAGCCCACTCTCTTGAACCTTGAGACCATGCCTTTTCTCTCACCTGTGAATTGGGAGCAGATTCTGGGAGAGCCCAGTGTCCCTCTGAGGCTCTGAGAGGAAACATTCAGGGGAGAGCCAGGCAGCTGAGGGAGGGAGGTGGGCAGTCCGTCCCAGCCATCAGGTCTCAGTGTCAGACAGAATCACAGAAAGCGTAAGAGAGCACACAGGTATAAGACATGAGGGGAGGCCCAGCCTGGACACCCTGCGTGTATGTTGGGGGCCAAGCTGTGCATGAACGCAAGGGCAGGCGGTTCACCCCACGGTGCACATCCGTGGAGGTCAGAGGGGTAGGACCGGTGTCCTTCTGTATCACCCGCTTCCCCAACCTGGAGCCAGGCTGGAAGCTGGAGAAGGCCAGCCAGCCACTTGTGTCTGCCTCCCCCACCTGCCCCAGCACTGGAGTTACAGGGCCATGTGCACAGTCACACCTAGGGTTTACATGGGCGTTCTGGGGACTGGAACACAACTGTCACTCAATTAACACTCTTACCGAGTCTTCTCCCTAGCTCGGTCACTCTATTGAGCATCTTCTTGTCTGGGCTCTGCTCCGGGTGGCTGTACAAGCCAGGTAACAAAGAAGGCCTACATTCCGGGAGTGGCATCCTAATACCCATCCACAGGGCCAAAGACAGACAGAGGTGGAGAGACCTTCAACAGACAGAGGTGGAGAACCTTCGGCAGACAGAGGTGGCGAGGCCTCGGTGGGTCACTAGATTGCTGGAAGCCATTCACACTGTAAACTAAAGTTCTCAGAAAGAAAAGCCTCATGGGAAGTGGGGGCTGGGGACATGATTCAGAGTAACAGTGCTTGGTGCTCAGGCCTGAGGAGCTGGGTTCGGATCCCAAGCACCCATAGATACCAGGCAGAGTACAGGTGTACTCCCAGTACTGAGGAGGTAAAGTCAGGAGGATCTCTGGGGTTCAATGGCTGGCAAGGCCAGCCATCCTTAAATAGTGAGCTCCAGGTTCAGAGAGAGACCCTTCCTCAAAACAAAAAAAAAGTGGAGGAAGACACCCATTGTCAACCTCTGGTTGGCCTCCACATGTGGACACCCATATGTATACACACATGAACATACATGCATACACCACTGTGTGGCCCAGGTTAACCTGGAAACTCATGATCCTTCTGCCTCAGTGGCATGATTACAGGCTTAAGCCACCATATCTGTCTTCCTGGGATTGTTTTTATTAAAGATAACGGACAGACAGACCTATGAAGTCCAGACTCTGGGCAGATGCAGGAGCTCTTGGGATCAGGTGACCAAGAAAAAGAATCTGTAATCCAGGGATTCCTTATGGCGTCACAAAATCTAAGGAAGTGTCTGGGCCTGCCTGGGTCAGGAGTGAGGCATGGAGGGGTCTGCTGAACCCAAACCTGTGAAGAAGGGAGGGGTACATCAAATGCGGGTGTGGATAACATGCTCTCTCTCTCTCACACACACTCACACACACACACTCACACACACACACACACACACACACACACACACACACACACACACACTAAGTGAAGATAAGGACAGTAAAGGGTTATCTCTCCACACACCACCTTGAGGCCCCAGCTCCAGAGCTCTCAGGACCCATGGGAAGGGACAATGGAGAAACTACACCAGGCTTGGCCTGGAAGTGACTGCACAGTGTGTGGCAGAGACGAGGGAGGGAGGGAGGGAGGGGGGAGGGAGGGAGGGAGGGAGGGGGGAGGGAGCCTAGCACCCCATTCACACTTCTGCCAGGAAGAGAGGTGATAAGGCAGAATCACCCTAGGTCTCAGGACCTGCTCCCCAGCTGGACATGCCCCAGGGGCAGGTCCTTCTGCAGAGTGGCACGTGTGGCTTATTTCATCTACCCTCATCCTCTGCCAGGCTCCCCATTGTGCAGTGGAATTCACATGCAGAAAAGTACAAAACAGGGCCACAGCTCAGTGACTTAGCACAAAGCCACCCAGTCGCCGCCCAGTCCAGAAATAGATACCTTTGTGTTCCCGCCACGCCTTACCCCTCAAATGGCTCCTCCCTCCCAGAGGAAGCCGCCCTCATGACTTTGGGTAGCTTGCCCATTGACCTGGCATCACCATGACACCTTAGATATCCACTTTGTGGGCCTTCAGCTGTGGATAGAGTGACAGAGGACACCTGAAATCCTCCTCTGACCTCTGCAGACACACAGAGGCAGGCACCTGCACCCCTTATATGCAACAACGATAATAAAGATAATTTAAAATAAGTATTGTTTTTTAGACAGAATCTCACTATGTAGTCCTGGAAGGCTTGGAATTCTCTATGTAGGCCAGGCTGGCCTCCGACTCAGAGACCTGCCTGTCTCTATCTCCTGAGTACTGGGATTTAAAGGTGTCATCACGCTCAGCAATTAATGCATTTTTTTGTTGTTGTTGTTGTGTTTTCGAGAAAGGGTTTCTCTGTATTGTTTTGGAGGCTGTCCTGGAACTCTCTCTGTAGACCAGGCTGGCCTAAAACTCACGGAGATCCGCCTGCCCCTGCCTCCCGAGTTCTGGGATTAAAGGCGTGTGCCACCAATGCCCGGCTCAATTAATGCATTTTTAAAAATGAAACCCATGCCATTTTTGGTGTGACAGAAGCATCTTTCGCTACAATAAGAAGATTCTTGGGCCGGGCAGTGGTGGCGCATGCCTTTAATCCCAGCACTCGGGAGGCAGAGGCAGTCCGATCTCTGTGAGTTCGAGGCCGGCTGGACCAATAGCCTCCAAAACAATACAGAGAAACCCTGCCTCGTAAAAACCAAAAAAAAAAGATGATTCTTGGAGGCCTCCCAGATGGCCCATATGTTGATCACAAGGATGACCAGTCACAGTTTTGAACAGGCAATTTTCAGCCCCACCCCATCCTATAGCAGAGCAGAGCTAGAGACTGTGGCATTGTGGCAATGCCTCTATGAGACCCCTATAGAGAGTTGGTGTGCCTAGGGGTAGAGCTTGCCTAACACTCAGGGTCCTGGACTCTATCCTTAGTTCCTCCCCACAAATTCCTGAAGTGGGGGGGGCTCAGAGAATTCCCACGCTAGTGAACTTGTTCATATGCCACCCTCCCAGGGTAAGAGAAGCTCCTGGACTTTACACTCAGCCTGACAAATTTCATGGGCGTTTTCATGTGGCAGCCTATCTGTGTCATTCATCATGTCCTAATATAAAATAAACAGAGGCAGATGAGATGGCTCAGTGGCTAAAGGTGCCAGCTGCCAAGCCTGATGACCTGAGTTCAATCCCTGGGATAGGATGGAAAGCAAGAACTGCTTCCTGCAAGTTATACACAGAGAGAAACACACACAGACACACACAGACATATGCACACACAGACACACACATATACACACAGACATATGCGCACACAGACATATACACACAGAGACACACAGACATGGTACACACACATATACACACAGACACACAGACATATGCACACACAAACACACACATACACACAGACATATGCACACACAGACACACAGACATATGCACACACAGACATATGCACACACAGACACACACAGACATATGCACACACAGACACACACAGACATATACACACACAGACATATGCACACACAGACATATGTACACACAGACACACAGACATATACACAGACACATACAGACATATGCACACACAGACACACAGACATATACACACACAGACACACACAGACATACACACAGACACACACAGACATGCTTAGATGCACAGATATTCACACACACACAGACACAACTGACACCACCCCTCATACACACACTATAACAAATTAAACATATTTTAAGGAAATAGAATGAACAAATCATTGACTGAGTGATGCCCTTACTTTTGTGAGGCATCAGAGAAATACTGAAGTTGAAGAGGGGGTGCCTGGAGACTCATTCATGTTTGGCATCTGGAGTCTGGTAGCTCTTACCTTGTCTTCACTCTGTGATATATTAACTCAGGTCTCACAACGAGTGGTAGAAGTTTCCAGGCTCTTGTGTCCCAGGACAATGAATTTGACCAGAGACTAGTTATTAGACATTAAAATAGAATCGAGACTGGTTAGTAAGAAAACGAAAGCAGGCTAGTGAGCTGGGGGAAAGGCAGGCACTCCAAAGTCCTGGCCCAAGAGCCAGCAATGTGGCTCGGCAGATAAAGATGCTTGCGGCCAAGCTTGAAGACCTGAGTTTGAGTCCCAGAAGGAGAGACCTGCCACCGCAAGTTTTCCTCTGACTTCCTCGTACATGATGTAGCGTGTGTGTGCATGGTGTGCGTGCGCGTATACTCACACAGAAAACAAACACGTGTCATTAACGAGAACACCCTGGGCCGAGAGGGTCACGTGCATAACGCCCACCCCTTCCGCATTTGCGCATTGCAGGCTTTTCTCCCACACGCTTCCTGTGTGGAGCCCAGCTGAGGACGGGCTTCCTGGGTTTTCCTGCTAGCTGGCTTCGTGTTAATCCTCATTATGCAATTTCCAATTTCTACTCTCTTGCTGCTGGTTGATTTGTAGGATACCCAGTTGGTGTCCAGAGGGACGGAGCACTGGCCGGTGCCAGATGTGAAGCATTGTGCGTGGTATAGAGGAAAACAGGGTATAGCACTGAGGGTGTAGTTCAGTCGGCAGAACGTTTGCCTAGCATGCACGCGGCCCTGGGTTCGATCCCCCTAGCACCACTCAAATTGGTCTTGGTATGCATTTCTGTATTCACAGCACTTAGGAAGTGGAGTTGGAGGGTCAGAAGTTCAAGGTCATCCTCAACTACAAATGGAGTTCAAGGCCAGCCCAGGCTACAAGGAGAACGTAGTTCAACCTATACACCTTATGGTGTGGGCACCTGCATCCTTTGCCTCCTTTCAGTGGGCCTCGGTTTCCCCAGCAGCAGTCGGAGCCGCAGAGATTAGACTAGCAGGCCTGAGTGGTTTTCCTAATGAGGGTGTGGAAGGGTGGGCGAGCCTGCTTGCTTCCAGCTTCCCGGGTCGGCCAGTCTCCAGTCAGCCTGAAATCCCACCACAGTGCCCCAGCTGTGTCACACGGGAGCCTGGTGCCCATCCTCCTATGCCCTGCCCGGCAGGGGCCTCCGTGTCCCCAGCCTGGCCTCCTGTTTTGTATAGAAACATTGCCCTTGGGGCTTTGGAAGCTGCACACTCACTTTGTCTTTTCAACAACAACGCACTTTTTTTTTCTTAAAGGTGACAGTGAGAGGATGAGTTTGCCACCCAGGTAGGGGCCTTGGAAAATTCTGGAAGTAGAAGGAGACAGTCACCCTCTCTCAGCTCATGTGTCCAGCAGCTAGCTACTGTCGTGTCTGGCGCTCTAGACTGTAGACTCACCGGTTGAGAAAGAGAATGAAGGGATTATGAATAAATAGCTCCTAAAAATCCATCTGTTTACGGCTCGTCTTTTCTTTTATCTCCCCATCCCCTTCCAAGTCAAGGCCCTTCTGCTCCAATGGCCTCTCCTCCCCGCTGCTTTTAAGGAAGCATGACTGTAATCTTTTATATTTTCTTTTTCAAAATTATTTCTAAGTGCATTGGTATTTTGCCATGGAACTGGAACTCAGACAGTTGTAAGCTGCCATGTGGGTGCTGGGAATCAAAGCCAGGTCCTCTGGGAGAGTCTTCAGTGTTCTTAACCCCTGAGCCATCCCTCCAGCCCATAACTTTAATTTAGTAAGGTATTGTACCTTTTTTTTTTTTTTTTGAGTCAGGGTTTCACTGTATAGCTTTGGCTGACCTGAAATTTGATATATAGTAAGGCTTCACTTGAATCTCTCAGAGATCTGCCTCTTGAGCGCTGGGATTAAAGTGCGCACCATCACACCTGGTTTAATATAGGTTTTAAGTGTGAAAGTTAACACAGAAAGGAAGGAGGACTCATGCCGGGTCATTGGTATGGTCTCCCCAAGGAAGAGTTGCCTTGCTGTTATTGTCATCGTTTGAACAGGGTCTCCGGTAACCCAGGTTGGCCTTGAACTCTCTATGTAGTGGAGAATTTACATGAATGGCTGGTCTTTCTGCCGTTACTCTCCAAATTCTGGGATTACAGGCATGTATTACCATGCCTAGTTCATACAGTGCTGAGGCTCACACTCAAGGCTTCGAACACGCTAGGCAAGCATTCTACCGACCGTACCGCATGCCCAGCCTCAGCCTCCTTTTGTAAAGAAGTGCTGATTATGGTGCCTAAATAGGGATGCCATGGACCTTGGTACCAGACTCGGAATGCAGTTCAGCAGAACCAGTGTTCTTAGCATTGGCATCTTTCTTGTTTTCATCTTTTCCTGCTAAGCTTTCTTCCTTCCCTCCTTCCCCCTCACATGTGTATACGGGTGGGTATACACATGTGTGCACTAGTATGTGTGTACTTGTAAAGGCCAGAGGTCAATTCTAGGGTCCTACTTTATCATTATTTGCCCCCCCCAATTTTTTGAGACAGGATATCTCTATATAGCCCTTGCTGTCCTGGACTCCCTCATTATGTAGAGACCAGCCTGGCTCAAATTCAGAGATCTACCTACCTCTGACTTCCTATCTCAAGTGCTGGACATATGCCATCATATCCAGCATCCCTAATTTATTGAAATGGTATCTCTCACTGAACTTGGAACTCACTGATTAAACTAGTCAGCATCCCAGGGACCTGCCTGTCTCCACTTCCTCAATGCTGGGATTACAGTAGTGAGACACTACCTCTGGTTTGTTTTAATGATGTTCCAGTGGGTCAAACTCTGGTTCTCATGTGCAAACGACAAACACTTTATTGCTGAGCTATGTCACCAGCCCTAGGAAGAGAAATTGTATGTAGAGTAACCATAGTCATATTGGAAAGCCCAGGTCAAAAGTGCCAGAATTAAATAATTTATCTTGATGTGTTGGTTTGAAGCAGAAATTAGCAGTCCCCACTTAAAAATTTATAAGTACAATAAAGCCATAGGCTTAAGATTTTGGAGACTAGAGGACATATGTCATGGTGTTTAAACCAGGCCTTGCCAAGCTGGCTCTGCCAGCTCCATGTCTCTCTGGGAGGGTAAAGAGCAATGGGTGGCAGGGACACAGGGGTAGCAGGAAGTCACAGGCCTTCCCAGCCATTAGAGAGGGGCATCAGCAAGATCAACAGTAGGTCTAGGACCAGAAGTAATAGGAGAGAAGATTGCTCGGGCCAAACCTTGGACATCAGAGGTCTGTGGGGTCTTTAGAAGAGGGGACTCTGCAGGGACCCAGAGTGGTCATCACGGTTTTTTGTTTTGAGACAGTAACTCATTTAACCAAGCCTGGTCTCAACCTTGGTATATGGCCAAGGGTGACTCCTGATCCTCCTGCCTCCATGATTCACAGCTGAGATTACAGGTGTTTAACAGTGTTGGAAGTTTAAGGTCATCCTAATTACACAGAGTTAAAGTTCGGAAGCTCAAGTAATACAGGGGTACAATGGTTTCTACCTCTAGCTACAAAATCAAACAGAATACCACATGACCTAACACTTTTACCTCTGGATTTTTGGATCTGTACCCAAAGGAATTATAAGTAGGAAAACTCATACGCAGCAGTGTCATTCACTATACCCAAGGGTGGGAGTTACCCATGTCCACTGAGAGTGAATAGACACATACATGGTCCAGTAACACAATGGAGTATCACTTAGCTTTGAAGATGGAGGAGATCCAAATACATCTCCTATACATGACTCATGCTGGATTTCACTTAAATGAAGCTCCTCATTTACAGACTCAGACACAAAGTAGGTGGTAGCAGCTAAGGGCTGGGGGAAGGGACTTAGGAGCTGCAACTGTTTAATGGCTAGAGTTGCAGTTCTGCAAGAAGGAAAGAGCACTAAAGCTGGAGCATGGGGCAGCATGGAGCATCTACTGCTACCGAGTTGTCTCCACATACTCTTCAATAGTCAACTCATTTGCTACAGTTCAATAACAAAGCAACTTGAGGTCCCAGCCACAGGGGTTTAGTACAAATGGTTTTATTTGCATTCTGACCCAGCACAGAGCCCACATACAGATTTCTCATTTACAAGTGCAAAATATGCTTTATTTCAGGTACAAAAACAACATGGCATTATGACAACTTGGGTTTCCATGGCCACCTCCCCGATGACCTGTCACACACATTTGACCGATCTGTCACCCCCCCAAAGTCCCCCACCACCTTTAGGAAATAACCACCCGATCAAGAGGAAGAAGGTATCTCAGGAAAGAATCACTTTAAAGCTTGGACATAGAAGAACACAGTGACTAACCAAGACTTCTACCCAGCAGAAGCTGGGTCAGTGCACAAAACAGTCCCCCTTCGCTCATTCTTAGTGTTCTAGCCCCACAAAGTTCTCTCCAGTAGTACTGCCAACCCAGGGACACAGCCTCAGGACAGCTGCATGGGAATGAGCTTGTCCACATGCCTAACAGATGTGGCCTGGATGGAACCTAGACTGGATACCAGACACTCATCCAGGCTCAGCCCATTGCAGGTTGCACATCCCAGGTCAAACCCTAGATCAGGTGGGTTTCAATCTTGAGCTACTGATATATACATAATGGAGCTATCTTGGGATGGGACTTACATCTAAATACAAAACCCATTCCTGTTTCTGCATATGCTGTACACACGGCCTACAGGTAATTTTGTTTTGAATGTGACCTGTCCCATGAGGCCTGTTACAGAATTTTGGATTTGGGAAACAGGATGTTCAACATGCTGTAGTGTAAGGACCAGGCCTGTCCTAGCTGCTTACTTTTCAACCCCAGCTAGAAGTCTGGGCAGAAGGCTGGGGAAAACTCAATGAGGTTTGCCTAAGTGGGACACAGGGGAGGCAGGTTTCTGAGTGCCTAGAAGACCTGAGGGAGCTACAGACAGCAGACAAGCCACGGAAGATGAGCACCCTGGAGGACACAACTCTCCCCTGCAAGAACTGACCTAGAAATCTGAGTCCAAGGAAGGCAGGAAGCTGCCCAGGCACTCACAACCCTGCACAGAGAGGGGACCTGAACACATGGGAGGTGTCTGCAGGCTCTGGAGACACTAAGCTAACAAGGCACCAGCTGAAATCAGCCTATGCCTTCCAGGACAGGTTCTAGTGAGCAACTCAGGCCAACCCTACCCCACCCCCAGCTCAGCAGCCTGTGAATACTGCACAAAAGTCCTTTCTTCTATCAAACCCTGGCCAAGGGACCATGACAAAGGCTGAGCAGGGATCCAGGTAGCAGGGGGCATTTGAGGAAGAGACCTCTGTACTCCCATGGAGAGGCTGGGCAGAGTCCTTGGGAGCCAAGTGAGGACCAGAACTTTCCAGAAGTGAGACACCCAGAAGGCAAGGAACCTTCCAGACTTCTCTGAGTATACCCTCTACTTCTAAGTTTATGCAAAATGCATTTGTTATTTAAGACAGTCCTAACAGCTGAGACTGCCTTTAAACAACCTGAAGGCGAGAGAAGGCAGCTGAGACTGGGTGTGCAGCTCAGTGGCAGGGTTGAGGCTGTCTGGGCTGTGGGTTTAAACCCAGGAGCTAGGAGCTGGCTCATTGATATAACACCTGCTTCAATGTGTAAGGCCTCAGGATTCTAGGTTTGTTCCCTATCACTGCAAAACAATACAACACATTAAACATATAAGAAAGGAGGGGTTAGGGAGTAACTATTTCAGTATTTAAGAGCCAAGAGGTAAAATTACGTTGGCACAAGAGAAAACACAATTCCATTTTTTAAAAATTGCCCAGAGTGGCCTCAAATCCAGTCATAGTTCTTTTACGACCCGGTCCCAGCATCACCCGTGGGTCAGCATTATAGGTTTGCACCACCATACCCAGCTCTCCACAATGTATGGTTTATGGTGCTAGGGATAGAACCCAGGGCCTCGATCGTGGTTGACAAGTGCTCTGCCATTGAGCCACACCCCAGTCCTGCGTGATTTAACTTAAGTAATTCAAAATATAGTAATTTAGTGTAATTTGATGGCAGGGCTATCATTTCCTAAAGTAGGTTTGAAGACAATGTTCTCTATTATCCAACTGATGGCAAAACAGACAGACAGCGTAGTGTTCAGTTCCCGTTCCCAAACATGAAGCAGAGTGGGGTGGCTCTCTGGAAAGAAGGGAACACAGACCTTGTCACTCTAGCCCTTAGGAAGAGTAGCCTGATGACCCAGGCCAGGGTCTGTTAGGGCTTTACCAGGTGACAGAAATGCCTGGAAGGGACCTCCCCCCCCCGCAGAATCTTCCATAAGCCTAATGGGGTTTGGGGAGCTTATAAACAGAGTTGGCCCTGGGCAGGGAGTCAGGGTGCTCCCCAGGATCTCACTGGTTCTCAGGCCCAGTGGCCCTGTCTTCAAGGGGTGAAGGGAGGGAAGGGGAGAAGAGAAAGAGTATGAATTTCCCATACGGGCCGAGCAGACTAGCTTGGATGACAGCGGCGGCAGCACGGCCCTGTGAAGCCCACACCTGCACACACTCATCTAGCTTCAGTCAGCGGGGAAGGCCCCGGGTTTGGTGAAGTTGCAGCACCGGGGGCGGTGCCCGGGACAAGCAAAGGTCACCTGTCTACTGCCTGCCTTTGATGAACGGGAAGTAATGGTAAAGCCTTGCCGTGGCTTAGGTTCATCTCCTGAGTATCAGTTCAGGGTCCTGAGGGCTCCAAGTCAAGGCTGCTTATGTCATTCGGGGGAAGTGCTGGAGTTCAAACCCAGGGACAAACACTCTGCCAAGGGGATATACTTTGTATTAATTGGAGACAGGCACTTATGATGCAGCCTGGGACCCTTGACTTTTGCTCCTGTCCCTCCAGGGTACCTAAGACAGTACCCACATCCAATTCCCCATGCCCCCACCAACCTTAACTTTCCACTGACAACAGCTAAAGAGCTGGTCTGTTTCTTCCACTGGCACGTTAATGATTTTCAGAGCTCCAGCCACTTGGGCCAGCCCCTGAAGCAACACTGGACTTAGGAACCGGTGACGCACTTGTGGGTTCCAGCTTTTTTCCCTGGTAAAGATCTCTCTAGGTTAATAGCTCTGCTCAAGGGGCTCCAGGCAGACTGGGTAAGAGGTCACTAGGGCAATGTCTGACCTTTTCCTAGACCCCCAGGATGATTGATTTTGATTGCCAACTTGATGGGATTTAGTATCACCATGGAAACAAACCTCTGGGTATGTCTATGAGGGGCTTTCTTTTCTGTTCTTCTAATTTACTAAGCAAGAGCAAGAAAAATTATGCAGTCAGGTTTCCTGTGTTTGGGGGAAATCGGAAACTAGGACATCCGGAGTGCAAAGAGGCAATCTCGCCTGGGAAAACCATCTTCTTGGTCATGGTCTCTCCTCTTCCAGGTAAGTGTGTTAAGGAGTTTTCCAGATTAGCTCAGTGAGGTGGGAATACCCACCCTAAAGTTTCACGGACTAGGGTTCCGCCCTGAATAAAAAGGAGAGTGTTCGTCCGTCTCTGCTTCCTGACTGTGATGCGGTGTGAGCAGCTGCCCCACTTCCGCTGCCATGCCTCCCCTGCCATGATGGTCTGCACACTCAAGACTGTGAGGGGGGAGAAGCTAATACTAAGACTTGGAACTTCTCAGCCGGGCGTTGGTGGTGCACGCCTTTAATCCCAGCACTCGGGAGGCAGAGGCAGGTGGATCTCTGTGAGTTCGAGGCAAGCCTGGTCTACAAAGTGAGTTCTAGGACAGCTTCCAAAGCTACAGAGAAACCCTGTCTCGAAAAACCAAAAAAAAAAAAAAAAAGACTTGGAACTTCTCACGCCATCTGCCCTTTCTGCAGCGTGTCATCTTTTACTCCTCATTTGGACACACTTTGGAACTGAGAAAGTTATCAACAACCCCATTTCTTAAGGGTTAAATTTTAGTTTCTCTTCGCATGGCCAGTGTAGAGCCATCACCTGAGTACAGCGGCCGCAGATAATCCCAGTGGAAGTCACAGGCCCCAAATCTAGCACTGTTTCTTCCAGCATCTGACTCTGAGCAAATTATCCCAAGTGACTCAGTTGCCTCTCAATCCAAACATGGAAACATGGAAATGATTGGTTGTGACCTTCTTCTAGAACTAGGGAGTGATAGGTCATGTACCAGGAAAGATGGCAGAACAGTCCTGCTGACTGTAAGACAGAGAGGATGCAGGGGCAGAGTAGGGAGGTGACTGTAAGAGCAGTAGACCCAAATGCAGACTGGGGGGGGCAAGAGATCACCAGCGGCTACATCATCCCAGAGAGATCCAGGTGTCAGAGGCCTCCGGCAAAATGACTGGCAATGGGAAGGACTAGGCCTTTCAGTAATTAGAAGTAAGAAAGCAGATACTCACATGGAAAAGGATGGAACCAGACCCCCTGCTACACACCATACACATAAAACCATTTTAAAATGAAGCAGACGTCATTGTAACAATTACAACTTCAGCCAGGCGATGGTGGTGCATGCCTTTAATCCCAACATTCGGGAGGCAGAGACAGGTGGATCTCTGTGAGTTCGAGACCAGCATGGCATGGTCTACAGAGCTAGTTCCAGCGCAGCTTCCAAAGTGACAGAGAAACCCTGTCTTGAAAAACCAAAAAAAGAAAAAAAAAACTTCAAAGATTCTTAGAAGAAAACACACATTGATTTTCCTGAATTTGGTTTCTTAGCATCCACATCAAAAGCACAAGCAATAGGAAAAGTAGGTTAACTCAGTCATCACCCAAATTAAAGTAATAATAATAACTGTTTTTGAGACATGGTTTTACTATGTAGGCTGGGCTGACCTTGAACTTGGGAGCCTCAGCCTTTTGAGTATTGGGGATGCTGGCACATACCACCAAGGCCAACCAAGTTACAAACTTGTACACCTCAAATGACATCATTACAAGGGTGAAGACAGCCTGCAGAATGGAGTAAAACTGATAAAGGACTTCTCCTAGAATTTACCAACAACTTGGACAATCAATGAAGAGACAGCACAATTTTAAAATGGGCAAAGGACCTGAACAGACATTGCCCCTAAAGACATACAAATGGCCAATCAACACATGAAGAGGTTGGCTGAACATCACCAGCCATCAGAGAAATGCAAGACACCTGCAGGATATTGTAACACAAAGATCAACGCCAGGGAAGGAATTCAGTTGGTAGAGCGCTTGCCTAGCAAGAACAAAGCCCCGGATTCCGCTCCAGCACTGCATAAACTAGCTGTGGAGGTACTTGTCTGTATTCTTAGCACTCAGCAGACAGAGGCAGGAGATCACAAGTTCAATCATCCTCTCCTACCTAGTGACTGTGAGGCTAGACTAAACTGTGTGGAAAGAATTGAGAGAGGGAGGGAGGGGGAAAAGAGAGGGAGAGAGGGAGAGAGCGAGAGAGGGAGAGAGGGAGAGAGGGAGAGAAGGAGGCAGAGAGAGAGGGAGGAGGCAGAGAAACCGGAACCATCCTCCATTGCTGTGGGAATGTAAACAGAGGCAGCGGCTATGTGGGAAACACAGGGGAGGCCCTCAAAGAGGGGAAGATATTTTAGGATCCATCCACTCTACTATCAGGAACACTCCCAAAATGAAGCCCTTCCACAAGAAAACCTGTGCCAATGTGTTCACAGCACCAACATCTCTATAAAGCTGTCAGCCCTGTCCACACACTCCCAAAAGACAAGGAACTGAGAGCCCAGCCTGGCTGTAAGAATAGTTTCTCTGCCTATAAAATAATGTTTGCCAAAACCTGGTGATCTGTGAGAATAGAAGTATATCCCACAGGAGCTCTGGTGGTCAGAGGGCTCACCACACTTTGGGAGAACTTGAGTTAAGAAAGAGTTGGAGCCATGGGTCAGCACAGAACCCTGGCAACATGAAGATGAATTCTTAAGTCCACCACAGCTATCAATTCTCAAATTCTCCCACAGTTAAGGAAGGCGATTCAACCATACCAAACAAGACAAAGTACCCTCAATATACGCCTACAATCGGGAAAAGATGAACTCTAAGATGAGAACACTGCAGAGAATACACTTCCCCTAGGAGACTTGGCAAACAGGATTGGTTAAGCAGGGTTGTCTCAAAAAGGGAGCGCTATAAACCCTCGGCTGCAGTACTGGGACTGTACCCAGTACCTCATACTTGCCAGGCAAGCGATCTATGATCTATCGAGCCATACCCCAACCCACAGTTCTAAACTGATGGTCAAGGCCACTGGATGAGATCCTCACCTCTTCAGTACTCTTTTCTCATCAGAAATTGAAATTACACTGCAGTTGCCCAAGAGGAATCATGTCCTCATCCATATTATCTCCCAGTCCACTGCTGCCCTCATCAGCAACTAGCTGTGAGAGGTCACACAGGGGCAAAATGTGTGGTTTGAATGAGAAATGTGTCCCATAGGCTCATGTATTTGAACATGTGAACCATGTTGTCTGAAGAGGTTGTGGTCTTTGGAAGATGCAGTTGGTGTGGGAAGGAGATCACTGGGGGTGGACCTCGAGGGTTTGTAACCTTGTACCACCCCTGTTTGTATGTGCTCTCTCTCTCTCTCTCTCTCTCTCTCTCTCTCTCTCTCTCTCTCTCTCTCTCTCTCTCTCTCTCTCTCTCTCTGTCTCTCTCCCTATGTATATGAAAGTGAGATCAACTAGCTTTCTACTCTATACCTTCCTCACCATAAAAGGAGGAGGGGAGAGAAAGGGAGAGGGACCTGGGATTGACATGTGAAGCAACCTCATTTCTAATTTAAATTTAAATAAAAAAAGAGTCTATCCCCCTAAAACTCTAAAAGCCCAAACAAGCCCTATCCACATTTAGTTGCTTTTTTTAGGGTATTTCATCACAGCAATAGAAAAGTAACAAATACAATGCCCACGAGAAGTCACACAGTTGTACTGTGACATCTACCATGTCAAGGCAGAGACATACACATGCCTCTAGGCTTGAATGTGGCAGATCCTTAGAAACAAGGCAACTGAGAGGAGGTGAAAGGCACAAAATAAATAGACCCAGTCCTAGTAATTCATCCAGAGCAGGAGAGAGGTCGCCACCAGGGCCACTGAGATGATATTAGAATAGGAGAGTTGTGCAAGTTGTCCCTGGCAGGCTGGCAGGGCTAGACATGAAGCCAGTGACCGAAGAAAGAGGCACAGGAACAGTGCGAGGCAAAAGAATAGCAGGAGGGACCAGGACATCTAAGGGCCTCCAACTACAGGGGCTCCAGTGTTTAAGAGGTATGTCCCCAATGTCTGCCTGGGAAACAGAGTAAGGAACTGTTAAAAAGCTCAAAGCCGAAAGACAGAAAGGAGCCACTGGCTTTCTACATGCCAGACTTTGTGTCCATGGTTGTCGTTAGCTTTCCTGGTCTGGCCAGAGTGCCTCCGAGTCTGAGCTTGTTGGTTGAAACAGCAGCTGACAATGGTGCAACTTCTACAGCCAGGGGATTCACGGGTGGAAACAGGTACAGGTCTCGGCCGCTCAGAGCCCACACTTCAGGATGATGTGGTAGCCGTCATTGCTCTCTGCTGCAAGAGAAACACTGGGCGTGGGCATGCGTCACAGGAAGAGAGGTGGTACCCCTTCAAGGTCCCCAAAGTCTACCATAGCATGTACTAGGACAGCCCCAAGCCCACTAAATAGCTACATAAGAGTATGTCTACAGAAGCAGAGATTTCAACCAGGTTTTAGCATCTACTTTATATAATTTCTCTCTCTCTCTCTCTCTCTCTCTCTCTCTCTCTCTCTCTCTCTCTCTCTCTCTCTCTCTCTCTCTCTCTCTCTGTGTGTGTGTGTGTGTGTGTGTGTGTGTGTGTGTGTGTGTGTGTGTGCATGCACCTGTGCAGAGGCCAAAGGACCAAAGGGCAATCTCGGGTATCTGGAGCTCACCAAGTAAGCTGGGCTGGTGTGAGCCCCAGGATCCACCCATCTGTCTCACCAGTGCTAGCACTGTTTTAAGCATCACCACTGGTGCCCAGCTTTTGAACTCTGCAGACTGAACTTGGGTCCTCATGCTTGAGTAGCTGATCCTCCCAGCCTTTTCACCATAACCCTAGGCCCAAGGAGGCATGGGCAAATGGTGGCTTTGTGCAGGCTCAGGGGCCTGTAATCCATTATCTGTGACATTTAGGATAAAGCCGATGTTGTGAAAGGTTTAGCCTCCGGTCTATGGCACTAGTGAATGATGGTGGGACCTTGAAGGGGTGGAGCCTAGTGGGAGAAAGTGACATCAAAGAAGACATCCTTGGAGGCAACACTGATCTTAGCTCTTCCTCTTATTTACTTGCCGGCTGTCTTGAAGAGAGCAGAGCAGTCGCCACACTCACGCCATCATATGTTGCCTTGCCATGGGCCCAAAAGCAAAATAAAGCCAATCGGCCATAGACTAAAGTTTCCAAAACTGAGCCCGAACAAGCCCCTCTTCATTTTTGGTTATCTCAGACTTGTTACAGTAACAAAAAGCTAACTAACATAACCTAGATTCACAGAATGAGGCAGGAAGTGGTTGCAGCATAGTCTGGGACCCAGTCTCCTGTTTGTCTTAATTGTGTGTGTGTGTGTGTGTGTGTGTGTGTGTGTGTGTGTGTGTGTGTGTGTGTGTGTGTGTGTGTGCCTGAAGAGGCCAGAAACAGACTTTGGATCCCATGAAGCTGGATTTACAAGTGGTTACTTGGGTTCTCCACAGGAGCAATAAGTGCTCTCATCCACTGGCCACCTCTCCAGCCTCAGCCTTCTGTTTTGATGAAACCCACCCACTTGCCCTCCCGGCCCCAAGAACCGTCCCAGCTGGTCTTCCTCTGCCTTGTGCAAATAAATGTGACTCCTGGTTTGTAGGTTCCCTGTCAGCTGAGTACAGGCATCCTGACATTCTCTCAAGCCATCTAGCTCAGATGTGTCCTCCAAGTCCCTGATTTGCTCTGCCTGCCATTGCAGTCCTTGCTTGGGCTCCCAGAGACCTTTCATGAAAGCTCAAACACCAAGGTCATGGAGATCAAATGTCCAGGCCTGCTCCCTGGAGATGTCACTCATCCTGGCATGGCTAGGACTAGGTATGACAAAGCCTGGTGCTCCCAAAGGCTGCTCCAAGTTCAGCATCTTCTGGAAGGACCCTGGCCAGGCAGATCCCACCTGTCACCCTACGATGGCAGGGAACACAGACACACACTTCTATCAGGATGGCAGGGCCGGGCTTACCTTTTAATGTGCTGAGAGTAAAACAAGACTCATCTTGGAAATTCTGGACCATCTGAAAGGCAAAAGAGAGACATGCTCTTCTCAATGGTGTCTTCCCATGTATCACTGCCAGCTGAAGGGGATGGAGACACGGCCCAGTCAGGGACTGCTGCGGGAGCATGAGCAGCACTAGAACAATGTCCGGCTCTCCTCTGACCTCCACATGCCCACAAGCACAAAGCAAAAGACAGGACATTTACTTGTTTATTTGATGGGTCATCTAGGGCCTGTATTGGACTAAAGGAAGGCTTTATGTTACAATAAAACTGTATTTTTAAAAAACTAAACACAAAAACAAGCATGGTGGTTATATACTCTGTGTAACAGCCTTGGCTGTCCTGGAACTCACAGAGATCCACCTGCCTCTCCCTCCTGAGTGCTTGGATTAAATGTGTGTCACCACTGCCCAGCTATTAGTGTGCAGTCTTAATCCCAGCACTCTGAAGGCAGAGGCAGATGGATCCCTTTGAGTTTGAGGCCAGCCTGGTCTACATAGTTAGTTCCAGGAACACCAGGACTACATAGTGAGACTGTCTCAATAACAAATAAGAAAAATTAAGTCACATACCACAAAAATCCCATTTTGGTCAACAACAGGACACATATACAATGGATAGAACTGAACAATTCTCATTGCTTAGTGGCACTGTGGTCCTGGTAACATTACTCATATCTGTGGGATACTGTAAACACCCTACTACATTGCCAGTATGGTACAGATGATGACACACAGTACACACATCCGCCACACCATGCTCTCACACACCAGGTCCCTTGGCTGCATCAATGCCATGTTAGTGACTCACATGCACCATCCAGGTTTTGAGTACCTGTAAGCTAGGGGGTTTCCACAGTGATAAAATCACTTAGAAAAGCAATTTCATTGGTCCAGAGGCTCATGACTAGAACGTGTTTTTAAATGGAACAATTGTGCCTGAATGCAAAATATCTTCTCTAGATCCATGTCACTTGGGTCAGGACTGGTGGCACCGTTGGGGAACTTGCGTGACCTTTAGGAGGTAGAGTCAGTGGGTAGTCTTGAGCGTTTATAGCTGGGTACCACTTTCTGGTCATCCTGTTTCCTGAAGGGCCCAGCAGCCTCCCTGGATCCTGTTGTCATACGTTCCTCACCTCAGTGCAGCACAACAAACCCTTCCTCTCTTGCACTGTTTCCCACTGGCTGTTTTGTTACAGACACAAGAAAGTAACCAGCAGTGATTGAATGATTTGTGGGTCAGTGGCTTGCAAAGACCAAACAGAAAGAAGCTGCTGCACTCCCCATGTGTGCGAGAACGACGACCCGTAGCCACCTATCCCAAGCTCTCACTGTGATTTCTAACCAGTGATGAGAGAAAAAAAAATTTCTCGCTCCATGGCCCCATCTGTGAAATGGAGCATCGTGATGATAAAAATGTAACCAGGATATACAAGGGAACTAGCACTTCCGGAGGGCGACAGATCTTTAGGAAACTTCATCTATTGGAGGTCACCCCTGGAGTTCCCCTGCAAGGCGTGTGCCCTAGACAAACTCCTCCACATGTGCACCCTCAAGCTCATACCATCCCAACATTGCCAGCGGCAGGAGTGTGAGCCACCTGGGATCCAGCCATGCATGGCACTTGGAGGTATAGTGACCCTCAGCTGCACACATCAGCATTTGTGAATCAAAGACACGGTGGAGTGAAAAAAAAGGGGTCCCAGAGGAATGCATGGCTATTTATTCCACACCTAGTTTCAAAGTAGGCAGAAGGAAGTAGCCTACCAGACTGAGGAGATCCCTGGTTGGTCACATGCTTGCTTTTCAGGCTTGAAGAGCTGAGTTTGATCCCCAGACGGAGGTTAAAAACCCACCAAACAAAACAGGCACGATGCTGTGGGCTTCTAACTCCAGGCTGGGCAGATGAAGACAAGAGGATTGTTCAGGCTCCCTGACCAGCCACCACAGCCTGCATGGCCAGCTCTAAGACATGAAGAGACCCTGTCTTCGTGTTAAGAGTGGTGCCTGAGGAACAAAGCCAAGGCTACCCTTCCGTCTCCACAGCACACACGTGTACTACCCCCACCCCTAAACAGCATGTCAGGAAAAAAAAGAAGAAATGATTACTATAAAATACACATAAACAGGCAAGGGTCAAAGGGGTTATAACCTCCTGTTGTAGTAAACTGGGTACAAGAACTTGGCTACCTATTTAAATGTGTACGTCAGGGCCCGAGAGGTGGATGAGCCCGTAAAAGCACTTGCCGTATGAGCCTGGGAGCCCTGAGTTTGATTCACAGAACCCACAGAGGGAGGGAAGGAGGGAAACCACTCTCACACACACACACACACACACACACACACACACACACACACACACACCACACACACTGGAGCATACAAATAAATACCTGTGTGCAAGCATGCACGTATGTAAAACCAGATTTAAAAACAAAATGTACATTAATTTTATAAAATCTTTGCATGTGCAGGCTGTATTTCCCAATATACACTTCAGAAAAAGTATAAACATGTACATAGACATGAGCGCCAAACCCAACACAATAGTAAAGCTCCTTTCAATTAAAAAAAAAAACTCACTTTTTATTGCCTGCTCTGGACTCTGCCTCAAATCCTACAAATGCACCCACCTGTCGACCCTGACCCTCCCTGCAGGGCCTAATGGTGCATGAAGCACATTTATTCTATACCTCAGCCTGCTCCAGCTCGGACTCTTGGCCGCCCAGCCACTTGGGCATGAAAAGCCCTAAGCAGGGCCCACAAGGGCTTAATCAGTAACTCCCTTGTTTAATTGAGTGCCCTTGCACCCCGGGGGCCGGCTCCGCGCTGGCCAGGCTGCCTCCAGCGCTCTGGGTAATTCTGGGCTGAAGGTTTCCAAATTGATTCAGGTTGAGTGGGAAGGAGACTGGGGGAGCAAGAATGGCCTACTTAGCCAAGGTGGCGTTTGAGGTCTGCTCTCTGCTTCACTTGCTTAAGCGCCTGTTGTTGAGGGCACAGGGCGCATGGGGGAGGGGCTTCCTCAGGGACCTGGAAAGTTGCAAGGCGCATTCATGGTTTTTATCTTCTCAAAAAGAAACCCACGGGGGCCTGAGGACGTGGCTCCATTGTTGAGAGTGCTTGCTTAGCTAGCATGTACAGAGCCCTGGGTTCCATCTCCAGCGCTGCACAAACCTGGTGCAGGGCTGTAATCCCAGCATGCTATGATCCCAGCCCTGGGGAGGTGGAGGTGAAGGTTATCCTTGGCTACACAGCAAGCTCAAGGCCAGCCTGGGCTACAGATCCTGCCTTAAGCAAGCAATTCTCTTTGAGGTACAAAGTGGCACGGCTTCTCTCACTAGAGCAGTCTACCACTCAGAGGCTTGTGCCCTCCTAGCTTCTCTTAGTCAGCTCTAGAGGCAGGCTCCATTTCCACTTTCTGTGAAACAGGAGCAGAAAGTGGCTGCTTTCAGCTAGACCCGGCGGTACATGTCTGCAGTTCCAGTACTCACCGGGTAGTGGCTGGATGACTAGAGCACGATCGAGGCTAACCTGATCTACACAGTGAGTGCTGGACCCGTCAGGGTTTGCCCTGAAGCCCTGCCACAAAACAAAAAAGAACAAGGACGCATAGCTGCATTAAGCTGGGCCTGGGGTGCACTCCTGTAACCCTGGCACTCGGTAGGCAGAGGCAAGAGAAGCACTGGGGCAAGGACAAGAGCCAGCCTGGTCTACAGCATTAGTTTCGGGACCGCCAGGCTTTCATAAGGAGACTTTGTCACAAACAAAACAGAACCACAGCTCCCATTTCATAAGGCCTCCAACAGCTGGTTCATCCGGGTTCCTCCCGTATCTCTAGCCCATCTCAGCTGTGGCATCTGCAGGTAACTACTCAGTGTCTCTGTGCCTCGGTCTCCTATGTGTGACATAGGCTGCTAGCCTGGACTTGTGTACACACACACACACACACACACACACACACACACACACACACACACACACAGCAGCCAGGGCACAGCAGCATTGACAGCTTTGGATCTGGAGTGTCTTCCCCAAGGCCCCTGTGTTCAAAGCTTTGTCTTAGCCTCTGGTGCTACTGGATAAGAGGTGGGGTCCACTGAAAAGAAGTTGGGTCACCGGGGTTAATATTGAAGGGAATATTGTGACCTTAGCGCCTTACCCAACCTGCTTCTTTCTTGGCCATAGTGAGAACAATTTGCTCAGCCACACCCCTACCACGATGGGTTATCTCCCACTAGCCCCCAAACACCAGGACGGGTCAAAATCTCAAAATCTCTCAAACTGTGAGGCATAGTCGTGTGTGTGTGTGTGTGTGTGTGTGTGTGTGTGTGTGTGTGTGTGCGCACTTTCTCTCTAGCACTGAGATTACCCTGGGATGTACCACCATGTCCAGCTTTTGACATGGGTTCAGGAAACTGAACCCAGGTACTCACACTTTCAAGGTGAGCTCTTTACTGAATGAGCTTTTCCTCAGACTGAACCTTTCTTCTTAAGTTCATGATCCCACGTATTCGTTACTGTGCCAGAAAGCTAACCAATATAATACCAGACACTCAGTGGAAGGAAGATACAGGACACAAGCTTAATTTAAGATCATCTGTTCCATAATGGACACGGGACGCCCAATTCGGTGGGCAAGTCTGCTCACCACAGCGCTCCCCAAAGGGCTGGGGCAGCAGGGCTCTGTCACTTGCTAGGCCTTCTGCTAGCAGCCATTTCCACTTTCCTTCCATGGGATTGTGTTGAGCACCAATTCAGTGGTATGTAGCTCCATCGCTGAAGGAGGCTTTGCTAGTGTCTCCCATGAACCATCCTCATTTAACTACTGGCCTCTTCAGACCTGCTCCCCACTTGATGGGTGGCACATTCTTCTGACTGTGCATGTGTCCCAAAGCACCCAGCCAAGGACATGTGGAGAAAGCTGTCCTCTGAGCATAACAGACTACTATTACCATTTTAGTCACAGCACAAGGGACTACCCACAAGGAACTCTCAAGAATGAGCCAGTAGGACTGTGGAGATGGCTGGGCTATTAACAGTGTTTGCCAAGTCCCATATGGTGGCGAGAGAGAACTGACTCCTGAAAGTCTTCCTCTGATCTTCGTGTGTGCAGTAGCACCCACTCACCCACCTACCACCCCTCACAAAATAACAAATAAATGTAGTAAGATGGTTTCAATTATAAGACTTGTTGCCAGTCCCTTATAGAGGGGGGGAGGGCGGGTTCTTGGCTCCTCATACTCCTCACACGAAGCTGATTCTTCCTACACCCTCCTCCCAGGTTTATATACTTAGTTTCGAAGGTTAACTGAAAGAAAGATCCTGTCTATACAGCTATGAGGAGAAGACTTTTCCTTATGGGGTCACCTACACTCCTGTAAGTAAACCTAATACATTAATCAGTCCTGGAGTTGTGACTTTAGTCTGTGGCTGATGCCTCATCTCGGGAGAGAGGACATTTGTTCATGCTTTTCCAGGAAAAGAGATCGAGGTTTGATGGAGGGGTTGTGACCCACAGGCTGTGACCGCTGGCGTGGAGTCTGTTTCTGTGCGGGATCTGGGGCTCCTGAGGGCCAGGCTCACCTCGTTGCTTACCACCACATGGATGCCAGTGGGGCCCTGCCGATAAATCCTGTGAATGTGCTGCGGGGGGATGCTGTACAGGCTGGCGATCTTCTCCATCAGCTCCAGGGTGGTCAGCTCTTCCAGAAAGATGGCGTGGTACACTGGGAAGGGCCAAGCGCATTCTTTTAAATGAACAACAATCCGTCCACGTGTCCCTACCCCATCCTGAGAAGCCGCACGCCTCCACGTGTGGATGCTCATGCCCAGGGCTGCGGATTCCGCTGGAAGCCGAGAAGGCTGCGGCAGCCTACTGACAGGTAAGCATAGGCTGGCTGACTTGTCTCTCCTGGGCACATGTGCTAGACCCAACCAGACCCCAAGGCACCCAGCTAGGGGAGGGGAGGCCCTAGAGGAGCAGTGGAATTCAGACGTGGTGCCTGGTGTGTGCACACCCTGCACTGTGAGAGGAGAGAGTGCCATGCCACCTTCCCAGGGGTTACTCGGTGGCTTCTGGTGGCAGAAGGACATTTAAAGACCATTATTAGTGGATGCTACATGACCAGGTGCATCTCATTCTTGGTGCCGTGACTTCCCTGCCACACGGACTGTGCCCTCAGACTGAGAGGCATAACAAACCGCCTTCCTTATGTTGCTGTGACTTGGGTCGGGTATTGTGTCACGGCAAGAGAAAACTCAAACACTGAGAGCAGAAACTGAGCAGGCTGCAGGCTCTGCTCCACTCACCACACAGGCTATTGTCCCCACTGCCATCCTGCTTCTGGGGCAAGGGTACTCGGTTCTGCTCCAGCTCCTGACAGACATAGATGGTCATCTTTGGCCTCACATTCCTGGCAAAAGAGGAAATAACCAGCAGACATGATGGGCTGTTGCTCTAGAATGTGCTGGAATATTCCAGAACCTAGAGTAGAATTCGCAGGATGGAGGGTTTTAGGGAAGAAGCCGGCGGCGAGGATGCAGTATGCCTCTCATGGACAGGTGCCCAGGGATAGAGTCCAGTCCTGACGCATCTTTACGGCTTCATTCAGGATGTTCTGGAGGAAAGGGATAGAGGACTCTTTGCAACCTGCCAAGCTGAAGCTTTTCTGTAGACCTGAATCTCAAGATGAGGATCTCAAGAGGTGGTAGGGAGTGTAGCCTGGTGGCAGAGCTTGTGCTCGGCACGTGTGCAGCCCCGGGCTTCATCCCCCAAGGGGGAGAAGAGAAGAGACAGAGAGATTTTGATATACAGAGTTCCTCACCCAAAAATGAGCCTGGCTCATCCCCATTTCACATATAGGGAAACTGAGGCTCAGAGGGACAAATGGCTTTTTTTTTTTCATCGCACGGCTCCCAGGAGGCAGATCTAGGACCCAGCCTCTCATTTGTGTCCTCTCCATCTACAACTGTACCCTCCCCAGCTGGCTATTGTGTTTTCACTTCAGGGCTCAGGAGCAGTTCAACGACAGAGCACATGTTGGCATACACAAGCTCTGGGTTCTGGTCTCAGCCCCAGAAAAAACAAAGAGCACAAAATCTCAATAAAAACTTAAATTTGGAGCCAGGCGTTGGTGGCGCACACCTTTAATCCCAGCACTCGGGAGGCAGAGGCAGGCGGATCTCTGTGAGTTCGAGGCCAGCCTGGTCTACAGAGCGAGTTCCAGGACAGCCTCCAAGGCCACAGAGAAACCCTGTCTCGAAAAACCAAAAAAAACAAAAAAAAACAAAAACAAAAAAAACTTAAATTTGGTTTGACTGTGATGTTAAGTGCCACAGTACAGGGTCCCACATGGCCAGGTTTCCGGACTATCGTAGAGTGTTCCATTTCCATGGTGGCAAAGAGTTCTCTCACACAGTATCGCCCTGAAAACTCCACTGTGGTTTTCAAGGCCAAACCCCGCCCCTGGGGTGTCAGCTCTCAGTCAGGACTCTGCAAGTGTCCAGAGTCTGGGCTAGTGACTAAAGGCCAAGATTCACAGACTCTGGGTCCAATGGAGGAGAGGGAGGATGTGATGGTTAATATTAATTGGGGATCTGGAATCACATAGGTGACAAACTTCTGTGAGGGAGGGAATTTCTAGCTTGGGTTAACTGAGGCAAGAGGCCCTACCATAAACACGGGCAGCTCCATCTCATGAACCGGGATCTCACATGTCACACAAAGAAGCCACAATCTGAACCGACAGCAGTCTCCTCTTTCTGCTTCCTGACTTACAGACATAACGTGACCAGCTACCTTCTGCTACTTCAGCCATGGCTTCCTTGATGGACTGAACTGTGGGGAGCAGAGTGTGTGAAGCCCTGAGTGAATGTGTGTTGTTGCCATAAGCTGGCCATGTTGGGGCTGGAGAGATGGCTTGCGGTTAAGAATACTGGCTACTCTTGCAGAGGTCCTGAGTTCAATTCCCAGCAACCATACCATAGCTCACAACCATCTATAATGGGATCTGATGCCCTCTTCTGGCACGCAGAAAACTCATATCTAAAAATATGCGTAACGAAATAAACTGACCATACCAAGGACCCAAGCCTCAGACCCATGGGGAAACGGCAAAGCCTTGCCCTGAAGTGAGGCTCAGAGTCGTTGTATGAATATTGATAGTGAGTTCATAAAACAACCACTGTGGCGCCACCCCCTTGATATTTATGGACTGAAGACTGCTCCCCTGAGAGTCAGTTCCTAGTGAGATTAGCTAAATCATCTTGTTCAGCTGTACACTGTAATCCTCCTTCCTGTTTGTCTGCATGTACTAAGCCTTGTTCACCTGCATGCAATAACCCACCTCCGTGTTCAGCTCTGAAGTACGCACCGAGCCTCCCTCCTTCAGGGAAACCAGTCTACCCGCACCCATCTTTCCGGTATGTGAGTCTGCCCTTTCTTCATTCCCTAGCTGCCGCACTCTGGTCCATCGCTCAAGCAGTGCTGAACATAGCACTGTACCTTCTTTCTTCTCACAAGCTGCCTTTGTCAGGCATTTTGTCATGGCAATGAGAAAATTACTAACACTGAGGTGTGTCCAGCCAGGTGTTGAGTGATCTCCACATGGCATCTCATTCACTGTCCCACCCCCCTAACACCTCCAGCATTTATTTATCCCCACGCTTAATAGGGGTCCCTTCCATCACCTAGTCCCACCAGCAGGCTCCCCCACGGTTCAAGAGGCCGAGATGAGGCTTCTTGCTATACACAGGCAGCCCAGTGGCCACAGTCTTTGGCTGCCTTCTCTAAACTGACACCTACCTGCCCTTGATGGCATTGAAGAGCCGAATCCCATCTGCAGGGCCACAGACCTGGACCAAATCATCTCTGGACATTTTCAGCAGGTCAGCACCTAAGTGGAGACACGCGCCACCGGTCACATGGCATATACCCACAGACCCCACAGCAGGGATGGAGAAAGTAGGGCCAGCCTCACCCTCAGTGGGCACTAGACCTTCCACAGAGAGGAATGGCATGACCAAACAACCCCAGGAGCCGTACAATGTCAGACGCTAAAAGCTAGTGTGCTCACAAGTACAAGGAGATAGTCCACCCACCCCGCCCATCCGCCCCGTCCACCCGCCTGCCCACCCAGCTCTCTGAACTTTCCACCAGCACCAACTATTCTATCCACACAGATTTTGCCAGCATGCTGCCACCAGCAACATGTGTGTGTCTCTGTGCAGAAACATACAGCTTGCTGGAGGTGGACAATACAAACACACTCCTGAGACCAGCACAAACCAAGAGGCAGAGCACTGGCCTCCCAAGAGACACAGGCATGGCCAGACCTACCACCCCACTTGAAGGGGAAGAGGAAGGCCAGCGTCTGGCAAGAACAGAAGAGGATGGTGGTTAACGGGAATGCCAGCAGTGTGAAAGACTGAGGCCCTGGATCCCAGAGGTCTCCAGTCATCTCCTTCATCTCTCTCAGGTGGGATGTCAGGAGTAGCTCTGCAAACACAATGGCTCCCTACATCCAACCCTTACTTTTTCTTTTCTTTGAGACATGGTTTCATGTACCTGGGTGGCCTTAAGCTGTATAGCTGAGGTAACCTTGAACTTCATTCTTCTACCTACTGAGTGCACTATACCCAGGTTTATGTGGTGCTGGGGCCTCGTGCATGCTAGGCAAGCAATCTAACTGAGCTACAGTTCCAATCCGGAATGGTTGGCTTTGTATTGGGGTTAAAAGCCAATATCCTCCTATGGTCCTACCAGAATCCGTGTCAGCCCCCCCCTCCCCACTGACCTTACTGCCTTCTCTGTTCCATTCTGTAGCACCTACCTCACAGCCTCTGCACTTTCTCTCTGCCTGCAGAGCTCTCCCCTGACACTCTGGCCTCTCTACCACTCAAGGACCCTGGGGAAGCTCTCCCCTGCTCTGCTCCCCTCCCAGCATAGGTCAGGAGCCATTTCTGCCCTCCTTGGCCCAGCACAGGTCACGGTGCCCTGAAGCGGCCAGTTCCCACTGTGGTATCAGGTCCCTGGCTGTCCTTGCACCTTCTACCTTCCAGTCGGAATGTTCTTGGAAATGAAGCTGAGGCAGCTAGAGATCCCTTTGTTCCTACTGCTGCAGACAGCTGCTCCCCTCAAATTGCAAGGGACCTTTACCCTCCCTCAATCCGGGTTAACTGCTTAGGGGGGTCGGGATCACTGCTTTGTTCACCGTTGTACCCCACAGCACCCCATTTACAAGATTCATCTGCGGGCCTTCCCTCAGCCAAACCCTCAGAAACCTTTGTGGAGGGTGTAAATGGGTTTTCTCTCCCATCCCACCTGAAGTTCACCTCCAGCTCCAGTGGATAGCACTAGAGGAAAGGTGTGGGGCCCATGTGACGGGTATGCATTGCCCTGATTGGCCAAGAGGGCCTGAGATGGTTGATGCTGTCAACTCACCAGGATCTAGACTCACTTAGGACACTAACCTTTGGACATGTCTGTGCGGGAGAGTCTTGATTTGGTTAACCTAGGTGGGAAGACCCACCGTGAATGCAGGCAGCACCACCCCACGGGCTGGGCTTCCCAGCTGAAGGAAAAGGGGGAGGGAGCTGAGTGCCAGCATTCAGCACAGTTTCCTGACGGTGGATGCCCCTGCCCCGTGAGCAGCTGCCTCACACTCTGCTGCCACAGCCCGCCTGTCTTGGTGAACTGTGTCTTCGGAACTGTGAGACACAATAGCCCTCCCCACACGCCACATTGACGAGAAGAGCAGCCAATAAGAGCCCTACCTGGGCAGGTCAGAGCCCAACCATACCCACAGGGAGAAGATGTGAGTACAGTCACTCAACAGCCCCTCAAATTGAACTTGTCAAGGGTTGTCTAGGGACAGAATGTCATACCACAAGCCGTAAGAAAGGGAACCCACACTGAGGGTTCTCCTGGACACATGGGACCAAGAGCAAGCCAGGACACCTAACCCCACGATGCTCACCCGAGAAGCTGGCGAAGAGCCTGCAGAACTGTGAGAAGCGGTTGCGGTGCAGCCACTGCTGGGCATCCTGGATAGAGGCGGAGGGAAGCAGGTGCTGCAAACAAGAGAAAGGAGGCTCAAAATGGCCACCGAGCCAGAGGAACCAACCACCAGCCCGCCAACACCCACGCACACTTACATCACTGCCCAAGGGTAAGGGCTCCACTGGGTGGGTAGGTGAGCTGTTGCTGTAATGGAAAAGAGATGGTAGATGAACATGAGGGCTTCCAAGGACACGAAGAAGGTTCCAGAACCTACGTGAACCAAATCCTAGCCAGGGGACACATAAGGGTGACTGGGCTGTATAGCGATATATTTGCCTCCACACTTGGAACAGTGACCACGCCTTTTGGGTGTGGTTACAGGTGATTAAAGGGAAAGGATCAGGGTTCAGAAGCCCCAGAGGTTGCCGAGAGCTTGGGGAGGCAGGACTGTGTCCTTGGAGCAGGACCACCGCCAAACTCACTTGCTGTTTTCTATTCAACCAATAAAATTGTTCTTCAACCAATAAAACTCCACTAACCATTCATACTGGTCTGGTGAGTCCTTAATTCCCATGCCATCATCACTGAATCCACAGGTCGGTACCCACTTAGGAAGGAAAACGTGGTCTGGGTTTTCCTAATAGGAAGGTACAGAAGCACTTGCCATGCAAGCATGTTCAAGTCCCAACACCTACATAAAAGCTGGTGCAGCATGGCATGCCTCTAATCCCTGTCCTGGGAAATGAGATAGAAGCTTCACTCGAGAGCACTGGCCAGCCAGCCTCACTCACCAAGTCAGTGAGCTCCAGGTCCAGGGAGACTCTGACTCAAAAGGCGAGGTAAAGAACCAGTGAAGAGGCCTCCTGACATCAGATTCTGGCTTCCACACACACACCCACACATTCACATGCACATGCAGGCCCCTTGCAGAGGTGGCCCTCAACCTGGCCATCAGTCACAACAGCATCCCTTCCACTGTCTGTATCACAGGCACAGGGTTCCTCACAAGCCTGTACTGAACTCCTAACTCCCTCCCCTTCTGCACTGGGGAGGGCAGACATTAAAGAGCAGGTCTGTCTGATCTAAATGACTCTTTTTATTCTATGATCACGAGAAGACATTTCACAACAGCAAAGCCAAGCTCAGACAGCCTTTCTTTCTTTCTTTCTTTCTTTCTTTCTTTCTTTCTTTCTTTCTTTCTTTCTGTCTCTCTCTCTCTCTTTCTTCCTTCATTTCTTTCTTTCTTTCTTTCTTTTTTTGTTTGTTTTTTTGAGATAGGGTTTCTCTGTATTGTTTTGGAGGCTGTCCTGGAACTCACTCTGTAGACCAGGCTGGCCTCGAACTCACAGAGATCCGCCTGCCTCTGCCTCCTGAGTGCTGGGATTAAAGGCGTGTGCCACCAACGCCTGGCTTCTTTTTTTCTTTATTTTATTTCTTTATTTTATTTTTTGGAGCATATCTCCTTTAGTTTGGGCTGGCTTTGAACTTGCTACGTAACTTTGAACTGCTGATCCTCTTCCTCTACCTCCAGAATACTGGCCTTACAGGTGCCACTGCACCAGATGCTGGAGATCAAACACAGCATTTCCTCTACTAAATGAGCTCCAGCTCCATCCCCAACCCCCACATTCCATTATAGATGGGCGGCTGAGCAGGGGCTCAAGGCACAAAACACAGGTTCTGTTTTCAAGGGTTATCAGCATCCAGGCTGGAGTCCTCTTCTCACTCCCAGGACATCCCTGCAAAGCCACCTAGCGATGTCAAGAGCCTCCGTCTGCACCTGCCAGTTAGAATCTGCCTATGATGTCTTCACTGTCCTATCACCATGTCCTTGGGGTCACATGGTCTATCTGCAGAGTCAGCCAAGTTCATCAAGCTTCGGTGGTACAAACGCTGAAGCCAGGGTGGAGGCTCCTACCTGAACGGTCTCTTCAGAAGGCATTCACAAGAGGTAGAGAGAAAACTAAGAGGAATCTTCTGAATGCCTCAGCCACCCAGCACCCACCTCAGGTGAACACTGGTTTTCAAGGTAAATTCTCACAACATGTCAGCACTCGTGAAAGTATACACAAAAGAACACACACACACACACACACACACACACACACTGGATGGGGGGAGAGCACATAGCCAGGTGTGATGGCATACAAGAGGCTAAAAAAGTAGGATTGCAAGTTCAAGGCCAGCCTGTGCTAACCAACAAGCTCAAGGTCAATCTGAGTGATATACAACCCTGCTTTAAAAACCCAAAGCTAAATATGGGAGCTGAGGGGATGTAGCTCAGGGGTAGATCTCTTGCCTAGCATGTATCAGGCCCTGGATTTCCACCCCCAACATGGGGTGTAGGCAAGGAATAGATAAATATAGCTACAATTGCTATGCCAGTTAGCCACACTAAAACCCAAATAGATGCCAGGCCGTGGGACTAAAGAAGACCAAAAAAAGGAACCTCTACCCCACTGTATGCCAGGATCCCCAAGGAAAGGAAGGTTGGACATACCCTTCCCCAAGTCCAAAGCTGTTGGGAGAGCCATTGTAGCTTGGAGATGGAACATTGTTCACCTGGTAGGCTACATCAGGCCATGGAGAGCACTGTGGGAAAAGATTCGAGACAATGTGACTCAACAGTGGTCTTGGGATAAGCTCAAGAGACAGCCCATGCTCCTTGGGCCTCTCAAAGTAAGTATTCATCAGCCTAAGATTCTGTTGTGTCAACACAGAGCCCATACTGACTCACAAAGAGCCATAGCCAGCCAGACTGCTAGGGTCACCCAACATGACACGTAACAGGCAAACCATGAAATGTACCCCTTTGAGCTTCCTGGTACAAACCAGAGGTGGAAAGAAGCATCATGTAATGCCTAAACCGTCAAATGAAGACAATCATTTGGGTTCAACTGGTCAAATATATTTAAAGATGCATCGTACAGGGCATAGATGATTTCTAAAGGAAAAAAAAAACAGTACAATTCAGAGCTAAAAACCCATTCTATGAAGCGAGGAGACTGCATGCAGGGCTTAGCAGGCAGGAGGGATCCTGAACTCTTCCAAGAGTAGCTCCTCCCAGCCGACTTGTACAGTTACTCCATTTAGCACCCATCTGGGCTCCAAAAGACAGAAACACACATGATGTAAGCCTTCCCCTGGTGGACATTCCAATGCGCAGGCCAGTTAGGGGTGTTGGAGAGAGAACACAGACCTCAAGGGAAAGGGCGTGTCCCAAGTCTGTGTTTCTTCCCTTCCCTCCCTTGGAGGGCAGTGACTCAGTGACTTCGCTTGGAGAGGGCCAGGCTGCAGCATAACTCAAGACTGACTATCCCCCACCAAATGCCAGGTTGGTAAATATTTAACCGTTGTGAGTGTGGGCTGGAATTTGTTGATGCTAAATCCTACCGAGGGAGGAAATCTGATGAGCTGATAGAAGGGGCATGCTGGCATCCCAAGGTCAAAGCCTGGGTTCTTTATGCTGTGCTGTGCTTTGGAGAGCCTGCACTGCCACGACACACTCCCTTCTTTCAAGGAAGTCAGGGTTAGAACAGAGAAGTTGGGGCTCAGCCAGTATGAGAAACAGCACCAGATGGGGTATTCCTGGCAGCGTCATCAGTCAGGCATGGACCAGGCATGGGAAGAAATTGCATGAAACACAGTCCTTGTGTCCTTCTGCTGGCGGAGAGCAAAAGGAAGTTTTCCTGTTCCGGGCTCCCTGCCCACTGTCACCCTCAGGAAAAATAAAGTGCCAGCACACATGTGTAAGCCACATCAGCTCTTTACCCTCACATGTGGCTTAGCACATACATGCACTGGCATATGCACAGCTGGGACCTGCTGGCCACCCTCCTCTTGGATATCTATACACAAATCTCACCATCAACATAGCCTTGACCTTGCATGGCCATCCTGAGTCTTATACATGCCTTCAGAGGGAATCGAACTAGTCAAAACCCCCAACACAATGAGGAATGACCTCTTAAAGAAAACAGGCCAGCAAAAGAAAAGCCACTGAAGGAAACAGAGGAGCTGGTGACAGACTCTGAGGAGCTCCCTGAACCCATGGATGGTTCCAGAGGGCTGTCTCTGTGGTGTACATTTCTGAATCTCTCCAAGGAAGAAAATAGCAAGTGCTGGGGCTGGGCTAGGGCTCAACGGCCTCAGGTGCTCATTGTATGCACCTGAGATCCTGGGTTCCAACTTGACACCGGATCTTACCTTAAATGTACTTGTGTATTTATTTTATTATATGAACATGTGTGTGTGCATGCGCGCACACACATGTGCTCTCTCATGTGTACATGTGTGTGTTCTGGTGTGCGTATAGCATGGCTTGTGTATGGAGGTCAGAGGACAACGCCCAGAAGGCAGCTCTTTCCTTCCACCTGGGATCTGGGGATCTTACCCACTGAGCCATCTCTCAGGCCCTAGCACTGAATTATAAAAAGTCTGCCTGCTGGGCATAGTGGCACACACCTTTAATCCCAGCACTCAAGAAACAGAGGCAGTATCTCTGTGAATTGGAGACCAGCCTGGTCTACATCAAAGGTTCGAGGACAGCCAGGGATACATGAGGACCCTGTCTCAAACAAAACAAAACAAAAACAACCAAACAAACAAGCAAAAGCCAGTGCTTACACAACCAGCCAGTGAGCTCACATAGATGAGTAGAACATGGTACATAGCTCTGCCATGTGCATGTCCACAACAGGCCTCCTCAGGGCACTGCACAGCTGGACAAGGAACTGGAAAGTTGTTGTGGAGAGACAGCAGGAGTCGCGTGCAAGATGAGCCATTAGACACAACAGACACAGTGCAGAAGCGTGTGTATTGCTGACATACAGACATGGGTATGGGCTAAAGTGTGTACATACAGCCTTAACTGCAGGGAAAGACAGATGCTCCACAGAGCCAGAGGCCCTGGGTGCCTGGAGAGAGATGCTGAGAGTGGGGAGAGTCAAGGCATAGATCGGTCAATGGGGAGATGCTTTTGGTTGCACTCTTTCACATTTTGAACCACATTGACTGAATGTATAACCTGTTCACCCACATTTTCAAAAGCACTAACATATTCAAAGGCAGCAAGGAGCTCAAAGTGACCTCAGAGTCACCCACCAACAGCCCCACTGATGTGTGCACTGGGCACACCCGATGGGCGATTTTCTGACTGCACATGTCCCCAGCCCCAGCCCCAGCCCACCTCAGTGAGGATGGTGGTTTCGTAGGATGGCTGGTACTTCTCCTTCTCCTGAGCTGTTCTTTTCTCCATCTTTTCCCGGTCGGTTTTCTGTTTCCGGTCAGCTCCCTTTGGCTGCAAGTACAGAATACAGGGTCCACTTAGACCAGAAAGCCGCCATCGGCTGGGGAAGGAAGACAGAGGCCTGCAGGCTCTCACCTCAACCCGTGCCTGAAGACCAGGAAGGACAGCTCTTGAGCCTCCCGAGTGGCATGTTTTCTTTCCAACCCTGGGATCTTGAACCTACTACGTGGCAGCTCAGTGGGTGCTTAGGAAAGATTGCTACCAATGGCCACTTGCTTCTGGATGGAGCCAGGGCGAACCAAGACGGGAAACACCACAGCACACCCAGCCCTCAAATACATGTCACTCTCAATGGCCTCTCTGTCTCTGCTGTGGGTAAATGACAGTGCAAGAGGCTGCAGAATCCAGGTGCTGCCTACAAAGAGTGTCCCAGCCCCACAGCCACCATAGGATCTATTCTATGTGCTGCCTACAAAGAGTGTCCTGTCCCAACCCCACAGCCACCACAGAATCCATTTTATGTGCTGCCTACAAGAGTGCCCCAGCCCCACAGGCAAACCAGAGGCTCAGGGCCTGAGTTGGTAGGAGAGGCCTGAGGGTACAGTCCCTCTCTCCTGTGTCACCTTCCTTGTTTCTCCCACCCTGCTTGGCAAGCACAGATACAAGACTCAGAGCCCCTCGGCGCTGAGCAATTTTATTACCCACCTGCGATGCGCAAATACTAACAATTAGTTCAGGTCTAGTGGCCCCACAGAACTTTCATTCCAGTGTGTGCCTTCCTCGGGGGATGCCTTATGGTTCCCTGCTCAAGGGCTGTTAGGGAAGCCTCATTCAGGGTGACACCAATCTCAGATCAAGATAAGCTTGCAGTGAGCCTCACAGGGACACTTAACAGCAGGCACAGTGTTCAATGTGAGCACCAAAGAAACTGTTAGGGTCTGGGGGCTGGAGAGATGGCTCAGAGGTTAAGAGCACTGACTGCTCTTCCAGAGGTCTTGAGTTCAATTCCCAGCAACCACATGGTGGCTGACAACCATCTACAATTCAATCTGGTGTATATGTAATAAATAAATAAATCTTTAAAAAAAAAAGAAAGAAACTGTTAGGGTCATGGCAGCCCCATGTAGCCTCCTGCTCTAGTACTAAAGTCTCAGCCTCTCCGCCCTGCCTCAGAGGCCATAGGTGAGGTAGGTACAGCCGGACCATCAACTAGTATGCTTGTGGGGTAAAGCTCTCCACCTCATGCCCTTCAAGAGACTGGCTGGTCAGAACACACTAGCTTTTTTTCTTTCAGAAACCTGACACTTCAAGAACCTGAATTTGAGCCAGGCGTTGGTGGTGCACGCCTTTAATCCCAGCACTTGGGAGGCAGAGGCAGGAAGATCTCTGTGAGTTCAAGGCCAGCCTGGTCTACAGAGCGAGTTCCAGGATAGCCTCCAAAACAATACAGAGAAACCCTGTCTCGAAAAAAAAAAAAAAAAAAGAACCTGAACTTGATCCCCCTGAAAATATGTAAAAAACAGGGCACAGTGACAAACACATAATTCCAGAGGAGAGGAAGCAGACCAGTAGATCCTTTAGCCTAATCGGTCAGTTCCACATTCAGTGAGAGAACCTATATCAAAAATAGGGTAGAGGACTCCTGGGGAACCTAAGGTTGACCCCTGACCTCCACATGCTACACAAGTATACTCAGCCCTCACATACACATACAAACACCCCTTATACAAAGAGAGAAAATATCCTATAGGTAACATGCCTGCCATGAACTCAAAATTCCAGGCCACACAGTGGGCAGAGGCAGTCTTGCTTTCTGGGGGCACAAAGCCAGTTGGGGGGGCAGCCTCAACTGCCCAGTCTCCAGGTCTGTGGTTATACCTATGAATATTTAGTTGCTGCCTATCCCTGTTCGGGAAGATCAGCATGACCCTGCGGTCCCTCTAATACATCCCGATCTGAAATAGACTCTCCCCTGGTCTCCAGTGCCAGCAGATGTTTCCAGCAGGTTCCAAATTCACCTGGGTACGAAGAAGGCTGGTCCCAAAGTGACCCCTGATGGGAGGGGCTCCAATATTCTACAGATGGACAGAAGTTTAGCCTGCTGGTCATGGGCTAGCCTCATGCTCTTAAGAATGACACAGACAGGCAGTGGTGGCACACACCTTTAATCCCAGCACTCAGGAGTCAGAGGCAGGCAGATCTCTGTGAGTTCAAGGCCAGCCTGGTCTACAGAGTGAGTTCCAGGACATCTAGGGTTGTTGCACAGAGAAACCCCATCCTAAAAAAAAAGTTACTGACACGAATCTGCTGCACCTTCCATGTCCCTGAGGGCCTGAGGATATAGGGACAGTGCATAATCTTCAGGAAATAATCAATCCAGATTGAGGAGATAAGAACCAGCAGTGAGAGACTGCTGCATGAATCAGGATAGCAAGAGTCTGAGTAGACTTCTGAAGATGTTTCTTTCTCTATGATGAATTTGTTTTCCTGGTACTTGAGACAGAACTCAGGACCTCCTTACGCATTAGAGGGAATCTTCTTCTCTTTTGGGGAGACAGGGTGGGGGGTGGGGGCGGTTTCAAGACAGGGTTTCTCTGTGGCTTTGGAGGCTGTCCTGGAACTAGCTCTTGTAGACCAGGCTGGTCTCGAACTCACAGAGATCTGCCTGCTTCTGCCTCCTGAGTGCTGGGATTAAAGGTGTGGGTCGCCACAGCCTGACTAGAGCCAATCTATCACTGAGCCACACAACCTTCTTTTTGAAAAGAAAGCCGGCCTGAGGGTCTTCTCAATGGTAGAGTTCTTATAGAGTGCCCATCATACAAGTGTGAGAGCCTAATATAGAACCAACACCCACAGAAAACTCCAGGCATGGTGACACACACCAGAATACTGGTGCTGAGGAGGCAGAGACAGGAGGATCCCTGGAGCTCAGTGGTCAGCTAGTCATACTATTTTAGCCAGCTGTCTCAAAATCTAAGGCAGACAATGAACTGGTGATATTGCTCAGTGGGTAGAGAGACAAAGCCTGATATTGGGTACAATCCCCAGGACTTACGAGGGAGAGAGCTGATTTCTATCCTCTGACATCTATAATTGTGCAGTCTCTCTCTCTCTGTCTCTGTCCCTCCCTCTCTCTGTCTCTGTTCCTCCCTCTCTCTCTGTCCCTCCCCCTCTCCCTCTCTCCCCCCTCCCTCCCTCCCTCCCTCCCTCCCTCCCTCTCTCTCTCTCTCTCTCTCTCTCTCTCTCTCTCTCTCTCTCTCTCTCTCTCTCTCACACACACACACACACACACACACACAGCCAACCAATGAAGAGAAAAATGGCCTTGAGCTAGACCTCCAAGAATGGCCCCCTAGACCTCATGTTTACTTCTTTTTTGTTTGTTGCCCTGGCTGGCCTGGAGCTCACTTTGCTCACTTTGCAGACCAGGCTGGGCTGAAACGCGCAGAGATCCACTTGCCTCTGCCTGGAATTAAAGACACTGGCACTCCTACATTTGCCCTCATGTTTAAGGAGACACTGCATAGGAGAACATATGAATGCCTGTAAAATGCTTGGAGTCTGGGAAAATACAACTCTAAACAAAGTCAGTCATTCTTACAAAAGCAGAGCCTCGCATTGGTATGGGGAGACACCCCTTCCAACACTTGTGAGTGACTACAGCAGGCAGGGCAGGGACAGGCCCAGGTCCGTGAACTGGAATCCAAAGAGAAGCCCAGGAGGCCACACACCCAGCTGGGTCAAGAACGGTGAAGGGTCGTTTGCAGGCGGGTTTGACCAGGGTTGGCTGTGTGGTGCAGCCTACCTTGAACACTTTGATCTGGCAGCTGGCAGAGTGTAGATGCTCCGTGTATTCCCCATTCTCGTTCTGCTTAAATGTGTCGATCTGCACCCGAAAAGGCACTCCCTTCTCGCCCCCATGCTTCCTGGGGGTGAATTCTGTGCTGATACAGTGCACCTGCGAGGGGAGCAGGAGAAGGGGTGAGACCCAAAGTCAGCTAGGAGAAGGGAGTCTGAATGGCCCTAGGGCTCCTCTCCCCCAAGGAGGTGACCATCCCTGCTTCAATTCCCTGCTCTGCTTAACCCCACATCAGGCCAAACAAGGCCTCCCAGCCATCTAGTCACAGAACACACCTCTTTCCCTTTATTTGGGGCTTTGTCTGATCAGTTAAATCCTTATTTAGATTGTTTTAGGCCACTAAACATAGCAGCCACAGCATCACCACTCCCTTGGTAAATTCTAGACTTGCAGGGCAGATGAGCAAGTCTTGTTACGCTCTGAAATCCTGGTATCATGGCTACTGAACAAGTCTGGAGCCACAGACAGAATGCCAAACTCATCTCTGCTATTTCTGAGCACATCCTACAGAGAAGGAGCTGGATAGCTATGCATTGTTCTAATACTGCAATGTTTTAAAATACAGTATTACTGAAATACATATAACTAAATTTTGCAACAAGAATATTATTTGTTATTTTGTTTTGGTTTAGTTTGGTTTGGTTTGGTTGGTTGTTTCTCTGTGAAACAGTTCTGGCTGTCCTGGAATTCACTCTGCAGACCAGGCAAGCTGACCTCGAACTCACAGAGATCTGCCTGCCTCTGCTGGGATTAAAGATGTGTGCCACCACGGCCTGGCTACTATTTGTTCTTAAAAGCCGTGTCAGTGTGCGCCAATGTATGTGTGCACGCATGTGCATGTGCACCTGGAAGACATGTTAACATGTGTGTCTTCGTCAGTTGCTCTCCACTCGACTTTTTATACCTATTGTTTCAGTGGGGGCGGGGGTGTCTGTTTTTGTTTTGTTGTTGTTTGAGACTGATAGCTATGGCAGTCCTGGGACTCACTATGCAGACTAAGCTGGTCTCAAACTCAGAGTTCCACCTATCTCCATCTCCTGAGTGCTGGGATTAAAGGCATGGGATGATAAAGGCCCACCATGCGGGACTCCACTTAACTTTTTTGTTTTTGTTTTTGTTTTTCTTGTTTTTTCGAGACAGGGTTCCTCTGTGGCTTTGGAGGCTGTCCTGGAACTAGCTCTTATAGACCAGGCTGGTCTCGAACTCACAAAGATCCGCCTGTCTCTGCCTCCCGAGTGCTGGGATTAAAGGCGTGCGCCACCAACGCCCGGCTTCCACTTAATTTTTGAAGCCAGGGTCTCTCCCTGAACCTAGATTTGGATAGGCTAGCTGGTGGTCAAGCCCTATGAATCCTGTTATCTCTCCACTTCAGCACTGGGGTCAGGCATACGTGGCTGTGTCCAGCTTTTACATGCTGAGCATCAAATTCAAACCCTCATGTACACACAGAAAGCATTTTACCAACTGTCACTAGTTTTCCTTGAGCTATTCTTACGGACCTGGAATATTTTTTATGTACTTTATAAAACACATGGACTATCTAAGACTTAAAATGGGGAGGCAAAGTGTGCTGGCACACACCTAGCATTCAGGAAACTGAGGCAGCTAGTATGTGTTCAAGGCCAGCTTGAATCTCCATAGAAAGACCTTGTCTCAAAAACAAACAAATAATGGGGGGAAAAGCTTGTATAAAAAAACCATATAGCCAGGCTAGCCCAGAGCCATAATAGACCATGGTCATGCCCTTGGCCATCTGAACCCAGACAGTAGGTAACACAAGGCAGAAGCCACATCAGGTGCAAAAAATGAACTCAACAACTAGAATGGGGGATGGATGTTCCTCTCCCAGTTATTCACACCAGCAAACACTGACTTTAAAAACTTTTGTTGTTGCTAGGCATAGCGGCACACATCTTTCATCCCAGCACTTGGGAGGCAGGGGTAGGTGGATCTCTGTGAGTTTGAGGCCAGCTTGGTCTACTTAGAACGGTGGTTCTCAACCTTCCTAATGTTGTGACCCTTTAATATAGTTATTCAGGTTGTAGTGACTGTCAACCATAAAATTATTTTCCTTGATATTTCATAACTGTAATTTTCCTACTGTAATGAATCTTAATGTAAATATCTTTGGAGATAGAGGCTTGTTACAAAAAGAATTGTGACCCATAGGTTAAGAACCACTGACGGAGTATTCCAGGACAGTCAGGGCTTCATAGAGACACTATCTCAAAAAACAAAACAAAAACCCCAACTCGTTACATTTTTATTCTCTCTGTGTGTGTGTGTGTGTGTGTGTGTGTGTGTGTGTGTGTGTGTGTGTGTGTGTGTGTGTGTGTGTGTGTGTAAATGGCCCATGCAGAAGATCACTGGAGCTTTTGGGAGTCGGTTCAATCCTCTCACCATTTAGGTCATCAGGCTTAGCACCAGGTGCCTTTACCTCAAATCATCTCCAGGCTCTAAAACCCTGATTTATGTTTTAATGGGGTGGTGCATGTGTGTGCTTGTGTGTATCCACAGAGATCAAAGGTCAGCCTCAGGTGTGATCCCTCAGATGCAGTCTTCCTTGGCTTTTGGAGCTAGGGTCTCTCACTGGCCTGGGACTCACTAATTGAACAAGGCTAACTGGTCTACCTGCTTTCACCAGCGGGGGGCCCCCGCCCCCGCCCCCAGCCCAGTGCATCACCATTCTAGTCTTTCTTATGTGGAGGATTGAACTCAAGTCCTCAAGCTTTTGTGACTAGTATTTTACAGACTGAGCAATCCCCCTAGCCTTGGAAATACCAGATCTTAACTTCACAGCAATCTATAAGCAAGAACCCAAACATAATTCTACAACATTCCAAGTCCTTGCTTCAACTCTCCTGACCCAAGACCACCCATCCTTTGTTCTCCCTCAGCTACTTTCCGTTCAACAGGTAGTCATCTTGGCTGGCCAATGGTCTACTCCCCGAAGCTCTCATGTCTGCTCACCTGAATGAACGCAGATGCCCTTTTTGCTGGATCCCACAAAAACTCCACGGCATTCAGTTGGGTTGGGCTGGCCCTGGGGTCCAAGATACCAACAGATAGTGGAATATCTGCACACAGATACACACACAAAGTGCGACCGTCAGCCTCTCCCAAATACTGAGGGGAAGGATCCCAGACATGGGCCCAAACTCCTGGAGTGTGAAACCACAGCTGTTCTCAAAGTATGCTTTGCCCTCTCTGCTAGCAGATAGTCTGGGAGGAACTGCTGTGAATTGCTTGCTGTCTTTATCCTTTCTTATGAAAAGTTTCCCTTGGTTTCCATCTAGAAGGACAGGCTGATGTCCTGGTATGCATACCCTATCATCACCTTAGCTTTTCCCATGCACAACTGAGGACTGTGGGCAAAGTCAGTACCTGAGCCCCCCAGCTCTGTGATATGCCCACCCTTCCCTAACCACTTATCAAAACCCTTGAAGGATCCAGGCATGATGGCACATGATACACTCAGGAGGCAGAGGCAGGGGGATTTCTGTGAGTTTGAATTCATCATGGTCTACATAGAGTTTCAAACTAGCCGGTTTCATCACCCTTTAAAGCTCTGCACTCTTCTACAGAGAACTCCCTAAAGGTAGGACCCAGTGGCTTGAGTCACCACTGACAGCTCTCATGATATTTCCTTCCTTCTTTCTTTCCGTCCTTTCTTCCTTCCTTCCCTCTCTCCCTCCCTTCCATGTGTGTATGGGGTACTCATGCCCGGGCATTTGTTTGTATGTGCACATACAGGAAGGTCAGAGGTAAACCTTGGTTGTCATTCTTCACCATGGTTTTCAGAACAGGGTCTTTCATTGTACCTGAAGCTCATCAACTCAGCCCAGCTAGCTGGCCAACAAGCACTAGGGATCGGCCTGTTTCTGTGTCCCCATAGCTGGGATTACAAGAGCTCACCACCACACGTGGTTTCTTTTTAAGTATGATCTAGGGATTGAACTCAGGTCCTCATGCTTGCATTTTACCAGCTGAGCTATCTCGTCAGTCCTTTTTCTTTCGGACTCACTATATACAGACCAGCATGGCCTCAACCTCGATGTCTCTGCCTGTGCATCTCCAACACTGGACTGCATGCATGTGCCATCATGCTGGGCTTCCCTGTGTGCATAAATCTAAGTGACATCCACAAAGAACTGTACCCCCGATGGCCCAAGTGTTCAGGGTTGGTACTGGCTAAGGAGACTCACCAATGTCCAGGATACGGTCCCCAGGCCTGCTCCACCGCCAACCCTCCAACTGCTGGTGCTCTGTGTACTGCAGCCGGCGGTCATGGAAAACTACACGGATGATACTCTGTGAAAGACAGATGTTGGAGATGGTTGTGTGTACGGATTGGGGTACCCCAAGAAAAGAGTGCATCCCTGTCCCTAGCCAGGGAAAACCTCTGCTCCTCTTTTTGAGGCTTCCTTTCCTCAGAACCCCAAGAACATGGGCAATGATGAAAAGGGTATCGCTTTCCATGACTTCCAGTGTTATGAACAGCTTCACATACATGTCTAACTAATGTGCTGTTCTGTACAGGTAAGAAAGGCCCAATTGAGGACAAAATTAGGTAACCCAGAGCACACACCACCAACAGAAGCCACTCTATCCTGACCCACTGCCTACCATCTCAAGGGACAGTGCACTCCAGAAACTGGGATGGGACTGTAGTTCAGGGATGAAAAGGAAGCTGCCTCTTCCTTGAATTCCTTCCTACCAGGCACTCAAACCCCACAGTACTCCTCCTCCAGCAAGTGAAGTAAAGACTCACTCACCTTCACATACTTTGTGTTCAGATCTTGGAAGTCCCCTAGCTTCCGGTTCTCCAGCAGCCGGATTTCATATGACTGACCTGGGGGAAAGGGCAGTACATTTTTTCATGTCTTTCTGTAATTTTATTTTGAAACAGGATCTCATGTAGCCTGAGCTGGCCTCCAACTTGCTGGGTAGCTAAGGAGGACTGTGAACTCCCAACCCTCCTGCTTCTGCCTGCAAACCACATCCAGTTTACTCACGGGTTCCAGGGCCAGAGCCCGGTTCACATGCTTCCAAAGACTTTACACATGCAATTTTAAAAAATTCAATCTCTCAGAGCCAGAGAAATGGCTCAGCAGTTAAGAGCACTGACTGCTTATTCAAAGGACCTCAGTTCAATTCCCAGCTCTTATATGGTGGCTCATAACCATCTATAACTACAGTTCCAGAAGATCTAGACCCTGAAGACACCCGGTACATGTGTGGTGTGCAGACACATGCAGCCAGAACACCCATGCACATAAAATAAAAAATTTTTGTTTTGTTTTTTGAGATAGGGTTTTTCAGTGTGACAGCCCTGGCTGTCCTGGAACTCACTATGTAGACCAGGCAGTCTGGAACTCACAGAGAACTCACTCTGTCTCTTGAGTGCTGGGATGAAAGGCATGCATTACCACTGCCTGGCACATAAAATAATTTTTAAAAATTAAAACTCAAATTCTCAGCCAGGCCAGGCATGTTGGCACTTGGGAGACAAAGGCAGGTAGACCACTATGAGTTGCAAGCCAGCCAGGGTAAGATCCTGTCTCAGAATAAACAATCCATTTCTCAAGGCCTTATTTTAACACAAGAAGCTGCTATAAGCTGCTTACCAGGGAAAGACTTTCCCAACCCGAAGTCAAAGACAAAGAGGTGACATGGCTCTAAAGCCACATGTATATAAATGTGAACCTAATCCCAGAACAAAGCAGGGACGGCAAGCCCAGTGACCACTGGACGGCTTTCCAAGCAGCTATTTTTACTAGCAGAGAAGGGTGATGCAGCCTAGAATCCCAGTGTAGGGAAAGCTGGGGCAGGAGGACTGACAGCTCATGTAGTGAGATTCTTAGTCAAAAAAGAAAACAAGGAGCTGGTGAGATGGAAGAAGGAAAGAACAGACTCCCACAAACTGTCTTCTGACCTTCACACACACACACACACACACACACACACACACACGCACGCACGCACGCACACACGCACGCACCATTTTAAACAAAAGAGGCAACCAGTTAGAGAAATACCTACATGTCCTTCATCCAGTTATGAAAACTGGAAATGTGGCCTTAAGCAGGACAGACAGTCGCAGCAGACAATTAAACTAAGGATAAGGGGACAATCAGAGAAAAAGCCCTGGGCCCCAAATTCAGCGGCATGCACAGGGACACACAGGAGTGGCAGAGAGGGTCAGAGGTGGAGAAAACTGATATGGCCAAGAACTGCCTGGAGACACCAGAGGTGGATGGCCAACAGTGGCACCTCCCATAGGTGCCCAGCCCTGTGACTCTTCTCTTCCAGTCTTCAAAGCTTCGAGAACCAGCTGCCAAGGAAACAAGCCAAAGCAAGGATTCCAGAATGGGCAAAGAACTGGAAATCAACCCATTTGGTGCAAATATTTGCTGAGTAGCAACTACACAGGGAGCACTCTGCAAACCCTGGGATCTTGAGAGTAAGTGGAAGGGCCCCCGCCACATGTGGACCACAGAGTTTCCTGACCACAGCCTCTGGACCTGGACCCGAAGCTGGCTGTGCACAGTCACGCACCCTTCTCTATTCACTGCTGTGTGCCTGTGGGGGGCGTGTCTGTGAGTGTGGGTGCTCTTCAGTATTCGTAGCACAGAAGTGCGGTGTACGCACTGAAGTGTGGAGGCCAGAGGACAACAGCCGCCCTCCCTCCGGCATCAGCCAACGTGTTTCGAGAGTCTCTCGCTGACCTGTGGCTTGTCAAGCTGACTAGATTGGCTGGCCAGAGAGTCCCAGGGATCCACCTGTCTTTGCCTCCCTAGAGCTTTTTAACGCCCAGCTTTTTAATGCGAGGACTGGGAACCAAACTTAGCACGAAGCATTTTTATTGGCTGAGGTATGTTCTCAACAACTAAGACTTTTCAGAGCTCTGTCTGCTTCTAGGCCCGTGAAACAGGAGTCCCGCACTCCCTAGGCCTGGACACACTAAGAGCCTTCCACACCCTAACTGGTTTTTCCAGTGTCCTTCCCCTTGCTGAAGAATGTAAAAGGTGTTGGCAGAAGCCCAAGGCCCAAGTGGTCATTACATGAGTTTACAGGAGCCCCAGGGGGGCAATTAGCACTGGCCCCGGGCTCTGGCAGGGTGACCTCTACGCAGGCCAAGCAGAGGCCACTCCTGCCAGATAGAGAATTAGTTTCAAGTCTGCACCAGGAGGCAGCACTGGCAGGTCAGACCCTTTGTGTGGTTTGATGGCCAGGATCACAAGGTGAGTTTCTCCATCACAAGGGGAATCTAGCCTATGCACTTCCCATGCAGTCTCCCTGATCCTCCCTCTCTCAAACATACATGCCAAGGATGCTTTCTACCCACCTGCCCCTCCGGAGTCATCCTATCCTTCCTCAGCAGCTGCCCTGCCCATGGTGCCTCAAGACTAGCACACAGAACCAGACTGGATGAGCATGGTCACACAGACCAAATTCACCTTGGGTGCTATTTTGTACCATTCTTGTACTTGCATGCGAGGAAGGGAACTGGATCTCTGAAGGCCTGGACCATATCTGGGGGTCTCTGTGTGTAATTTTTGGGGTGCTTGTTTTGGGGGAAGGGTTGCTTTTTTGAGACAGGGTTTCTCTGCCTTGCCCTGGCCATCCTTGTACTACTACTCCGTAGGCCAGGCTGGCCTCAAACTCAGAGATTCTCCTGCCTCTGTCTCCCCAGGTTCGTGCCACCACCACCCAGCCTAACTGCTGTTTTCTTTTGCACTACTTGACGCACAGTAGGTGCTGTACAAAAGCTTCAGTGTGGTTTCATAAACTAGTGCGTATACGCATAGTTTTCTTATGTGCAAATGAGTGCACATACATGGAGGCTAGATGGTGTCCTCCCTGTCAATCACTCCCCACCTTATCTTTTTGACTGGTTTGGTTTTTGTTTGTTTGACTGGCTGGTTGGTTGGTATTGGTTTCTCTGAGACAGGGTCTCTCTATTTAGCTCTGACTCTCTTGTGACTTCCTATACAGAGCAGGCTGGGCTTGAACTCACCGAGATCTGCCTGTCTCTCTCTCAAATTCTGGGATGAAATGAATGTGCTATGACACCTGTTTCTTCCCCACATTTTTTTTTTTTTTTTTTTTTTTTTTGGTTTTTCGAGACAGGGTTTCTCTGTGGCTTTGGAGGCTGTCCTGGAACTAGCTCTTGTAGACCAGGCTGGCCTCGAACTCACAGAGCTCCGCCTGCCTCTGCCTCCCAAGTGCTGGGATTAAAGGCGTGCGCCACCAACGCCCGGCTTCCCCACCTCTTTTGAGACAAGAGTCTCTCACTGAACTTGGGAGTTGAGCAATTCTGCTAGGCTGGTAAACATGCCCTGGGGGCCACCTGTCTCCACCTTCTCAGTACCGGGAAGAGCAGCACCAGCTCTTTGTTCATTCTTTTTTAAGATTTAGCTTAAATTTTTGCTTATGTGTGTCTGTAGAGGGCAATAAAGCATGTCAGATTCACTGCCAGTTGTGAGCCTCCTGGTGCAGATGCTGGGTCCTCAGAAAGAGTATCAGGTGCTTATAGCCAGAGTCATCTCTCCAGCCCCATCATGCCCAGCTTGTTATGTGGGTCCTAGGGGGTCCCACTAAAATCCTCATGCTTGCACAGCAAACATCCTACCAATCAAGCCACTTCCCCAGCCCCAACTTCAAATTCTTTACAATGCTCTTCTATGCTACAACTACGGGGTTTTGCAAAGGGTTTAACACACTCCTGCCCCCAAAGGTTTGTAATGTCCCAGGTACATCTGCATGGAAAGGGAGATGAAACAGAATTTGATTAACTCCTTCAGAAGCAAGGAGATGGGAAGGCTGGGTGCACTCGTCCTGAAGATGGACAGGGCATGCGAAACGAGACTGGAGCATGCAGTTAGCACAGGAGAGGACTATGAAGAGCAGGCAGGGTGTCTGGGATGTCAGGGGAAGGAACGAATCCCACACAGACTCCAAGGAGAAGTACAGCAGGCATGGGGGTTTCCTCTGGAGAATGAGGACCAACAACTTCACTCAGGGAGCATACCGGTGGCACAGACTCCTGGGATAAAGATTTGCCAAGGTGTGGCAACTAGCCAATAGCAGCACTCTGGATCAGGCAGGAGTCCCATTGGATAGAAGCAGAGGCCCACAGAGGTTCCCAGGACAAGCCAGGCAGCTGTGTGTGATTCTCTTTCAACTGTTGCTATCTGGAAGGCATGTGCTTAAGGCTACCCCAAGCATCCTACAACATCCTTCTGCCAAGTTAAGATCTTTTCCAACATCCTAAGCAATTAATTGAGAATGGAGAAGAGGAAAGAATCCTTACAGGAAATGGGAGTTTTGATCTCAGAGTTACGAATCAGAGGGGTTCTTGTGCTGTTTTGTTTGTTTCTGTCACAGGGTTCCCAGATAACTGAGAATGACCTTGAGCCTGCCTCCACCTCCAGAGCAATGAGATTACAGTTTATAGATGCACCATTACCCTCCATGCATAGGGTTATGGGGCACTGGGGTCAGTCACCAGGCTTTGTTCATGTTAGGTGAACACTCAACCAACCAAATTACATCCTCAGTCACTCATTACTTTAAACCTGAATCAATATTTTAAAGCACATATCACATCTTCACATAAGAAATCTTAATCAGCGGGAAGTGGTGCACACCTTTAGTCCCAACACTCAGGAAGCAGAGACAGGCAGATATCTGAGTTCAAGGCCAGTCTGGTCTACAGAGTGAGTTCCAGGACAGTCAGGGCTACACAGAGAAACCCTGTCTTAAAAGGCAAAAACAAAACAAACTCATAATCATGCACCATAGAAAAATAATCATGGGGAACCATTGTTCTTGTGGGGTCTCAGGGAG